CTTTTTTCACCAAAGGAACAAGAGTTCGTTTTATAAGATAAAAGAGCGTATGTGCGAAATAACATTTTGTATTTGTAACCCTATTCCTTTGTGAGATAGTCGTTATTAGGTTAAACTTAAACTGTTTTAAAACATTTATCTTTGTTCATTTGGAATCGAATGTAGCTGCATAAGTTTAAACATACGCAGACAGTTTTTAGCATAGATTTTATATGCAACCCGTTATCTATAGACTTGTTGATCGAAGACTGAGCAGCTCCCTCCAATCACATCCATGAAGATCCTTGTTGCGCTGTACAAAGACGGTTGCCGACGACGCCGGAGTAATACGTGTCCAAGGTATCGCGTGTTAGAATTAGAATTAGAATTTATTTAAATAAAACTAGTTTTTACGGGTTAATGCACGAAACTTTATTTATTTATTGACGTCAGAATAATTAAAGAAATTATTCTGACGATGCAGACCTGAAAAGGCTGCGAAACGTCAATAAATAAATAAAGTTTCGTGCATTAACCCGTAAAAACTAGTTTTATTTAATGAGTGATGTGCGTGAAAACCTAAGAAACAAATAGAATTTATTTATTTGCATTTGAATAGGGTACACTGGGGATCTTACAAATTTTGAAGTTCGGCCCATTCAGCCATCTTAAATAGCATGCAAATATTTTACACTACATTACTAAACGTAATACATATTAATTTACATTGTGAAATCATCTTTCAATATCAATAAGAATAAATTTAAATAGTTATCTCTTAATCTCTACGTTTTGTAGTTAGACAGCAATTTACAACAAATATTCACGACGCGAGTCTTAATAAGCAAAAAATATTATTTAATATTATCAGTAAATTAATTAGTGCGTGTTTTCCTGTTTTTGTCGAACCTCCTTGTCCTTGTGATTCAGTAGCAAATCAAAGCATATTCTTCCTTTTGTATAATGAGGTAGACGAATAGCCAATATTATTGTGGCATTGATGAAAACAACTCAGATTCCGTGTAACTCAGAGGGAGGCGGGCAGCCAATCACAGAACAAAATTATGGGTCTATGTAGTTTGTATCGCAGAACTTATAATGTTGTAAAGCCAAGTCAAAGGATGGTTAAACTTCATTAAGTAGAAAATCATTAGGCATTCACTCACTCAGCAAACATTCAAACTAATAATTTTGTAAGCCAGAATCATCTTTAGCCATAAGTTTAATATCCACAATATAAAACGCAGAACCATCATATCGCAGAACCATCATATCGCAGAAATTTCACAGTCTGAATCGTCATTTGGCATACAAATATTTAACGTTTCCTTATTTTATTTATGTACTAGCTGAAACGGCGAACTTTGTTCCGCCTTGGAAGTAATAAATGAGCAGATTTTGGATTTTAATACGTATTTTTTTATAAGGCTAATAAATATGTATATATATAAAAAAAAAATCTTTTTTGGCTAGGTATTTTTGTAGATAGGCTGCACTCTTCAGTGAGCACCTTGTGATAAACGACATTTTTTGTTTTATTATATCAGGTGCAAGAACAAATAACGCAGATGGTCTTCTGACCCATGAACATGCCACATAAAATTTACCATGGGAAAACATGGATTTCCTAGATTCAGACCACAATCTTACAAAGATTGGCCTTGTGATTTGTTAATAGTCATGGCGAATGTAAAACGGATAGGAAATAGAAGCCGTTTAAACTCAAACGGCAAATCGGTTGGGATCATCGGGAGCCTCGGAATGATAACGTCCTAACCTTCGAATTTTCCTTTGAGGATCGTTGCGTAAATCACATTGTTCATCAATTTACTTACCAACAAACGTGTTCCGTTGCAAGTTTTGGTTGGTTTATGTTTCGAAGCATGATTACTACGGAGCCAACTTAGTCTTAAATTATGCGGTAGCAAGCCAAGCACATCCAAAGAGTTTAAAAAATTATTTGGATAGTTAGTGGCTTCATCTTCATTTGTTGTCAAAAGATTTGAATGAATGCAGTGATGATCTCATTCTGAATTATGTAGTTAAAGTGATCTACATCTTTATTCTTATCGCTAACACAACCGTTCATTATTTTTGTGGTAATAATGATGTTTGGGAATACTTTGTTGATGAGTTCATCTTTCGATGAGACAAAGTTACAGAAATTCTGAGGAAATGAATCTCGATCGCTCGATTCGTCGGCAGGTAGGTACTCGACCATTACCGATAGTTAGCAATTGCTCTGAAAAATCTTCAGCAGATGTATCATCCACAATGCAACTCTCATCATCATGTTTACTGTCAGATGAAGTTTCTTCACATAGCGCCATTGATTCGATGATTTGAAGCAAGCGTTTACTACGTCTACAGCAGTTGATCTTGGAATTACTGGGAGTGTTTGGAGGAAATCGCCATACAGTAAAATCATTGCGCCTTCAAAACATCTCGATTCATTGCGTAGATATTTCAATGTTCGATTAAGTGCTTCCTATGCGCGTTTATGCGCCATTGTGCATTCGTCCCAGATGATGATTTTCGATGCTGATAAAACTTTGGCTATTGCGAAGTGTTCTGCATTACATGTTAGTTCTTTAATAGTTTGAAGATTAAATGGCAATTTTAATGCTGAGTGAGCCGTACGGCATTCTCCTAACAATGTGGCTGCTATTCCAGAAGAAGCAATTGAAACTGCAATGTTGGATCTCGCACGAACAGTGGCTAAAACTACTGACATGAGGAATATCTAACCAGTTCCACCAGGGGCATTCAGGAAATATGAACCACCATTTCCATCATTAATTGCCTTCATTAACGTGTCATAAACTTTCATTTGTTGGGGATTTAATAGGGGTACATTCGTTTGATCTACTAAATCTAATTCCTGGTGATCATAGTCACTAATTTCACGATTTGGCGCTGGCATTCCTAACCTGACTAATAAACTACCGCACATGAAGGAACACATGTCTTCGATCAAGAGAAAAGGCCGATTATGTATCTCCTCATTCATCTCTAGATCGAGATTTCTTGAACTGACACGAATTTGATGTAAAATATCTTTTGACATATTATCCTAGTATTTGTGCCACAGATGGGCTCGATGGAAAGCAATGTGCGAATCTGAATTATGGCTTTGTCGGCAAAGATTTGATCGTCTTGGTCGCGGCATTGTTAATGATAATATCGGACAATAAGCTCCAGTGTATATATATTATTTTATGAATAAGCTAATAGAAACTCGAAACAAACCCATAAACCGGTCAACTTCAAAACTTCTTATTGTCAAATTTGCAATCATACTTAAACATAGATAACATTACGTTTAGCTGTCAGTTACGTTTTGTTATACCATTGAACACAAATGAACGGCTAGACTGATGTTTTGATTCATATTTTTTTCGTTTTTCTGTTTATTACATTTTCTTATACCATGTTTTATGTCACGACCCACGGAAACGGGATATATGTATCCAATATCCGTCTCCTGATTCTAAGCTACCTCCCCACCAATTTTCAGACATATCGATTCAGCCGTTCTTCAGTTATAAATAGCGTTAAAACGACTTTCTTTTTTAAAGATTATATCAGATGATTAGTGCTTTGCCGGCTCCTGTTGTGGCATGCTCGCTTCGCTCGCTCGTCTCGCGTTAAATTGAGGTTACAACACTAATCTAAATCTAACCCACTATTGTAAATATACGTTGTGCTTAACGAAATTACGTAGAATAAAATTCTGCGATCATAAAAGTATGCGCCATTGTGTATTCGGACGTTTAAACATTCGGAAAAACAAATATTATATTAACAAAAAAATATGCCTTAAAAATAGTAGTTTGAAGAAGATTATGCCAAATGAATTTCTGAGCAACAAGATTCAGTCCGATAGAGGGAACCCTAAAATTTTATCAAGTAATTCTGATTACACCCTTAATTATTACCAGCAGCAAAAGTTACATACTTAATAGTAAAAAAACATCCTTCATTCATTCATTGTAAGTATATTTGTAAGAATCCTAAATGACTTATAACAAAATCATTTATTATTAATCCTTTATAATTAAGGTCCACTTGCAGCAATTTTGCTAAATCTCAATTTTACTTAAACTAAGCTAAATCTAAGCTAATCTCAAATTGACACTGATATTTTTATATTGCGCTAAGGATTAAAGCTAGTTTTATTTAATTTGAGATTAAGAAAAGATGCTGCATGTGGACTTAATACTTATTAATAATATAACTCTAGGTACCTCACGATAACTAAACGCAAATAAAAAAAAAACTCAAAACGCGAGGCCGTCGAGTAGGCCGTGCTCGTTATTGGGCGTCAATTAAAAAAAAATATACGACACTGTTTCGTCTCTGCGCTTTTGCTTTTTGCTATTATAGAAATATTAAACATTTAATAATTTATAGCTGGATATGTATTTTTAATGTAGAAAAAGGGTAATAAGTTGCACCCCCGTGATGGGGTAAGCATGAACATGAATAATTGAATCTAACTTTTTTTTTATATAGATAGGTCCGACAAATGGCTCCGCCTGATGGTAAGTGAAGGTAATGTCCAGACGTGAAGATAGCTGGTACAGCAGTTCTACCTGCCACACCAGCCATCCTCACTTTGCCAGCCTGCATGTTGCTTCTTCGCGCCTCCATTAAAAGATCCCTGGTTGTAAAATGGACTTTTTGACTGCTGTACGTATGCACGGTCACAGTTGAAGTTGCCCAAAATATTACGTTTTAATCTATCTTACCGCGACATTTATACTGTAAGTGTACCTTGTTAAATAAAGAAATAAGTAAAAAAAGCAAATTATCAATACCGCAGAACTGTCAATACAGCGTGAAGGAAGATTCTAATCAATCATAGCAAAATGAAGGTGAGAGATGAAAAAACTGGTACGCGCATAATTATTACTTACAAATCCGGTATTTAATAATATCAACGTCATACGTCACTCGGTCGACTCGATCAGTCGAAGTTTAACTATCAAACGAATACGGTGCCGTTTTCCTTGTGTACAATAGTTATGAGATGATGATATAGCACTTGCAATGTTCGCCAAAATAATCTGTTGTGTTTTGTTTTTCTATCATATAAATTCGGTGCGGAGTTATGAAGTGCCACCAGCGAAACTGGAAGCTTTACATCCAAAAGGACTACGGGTTTCAATACCGGGTAATTTTATTATTTACAAACATTTCTAACCAGAAGTATGGAAGCGAAACAAAATTGATTTATAAAAAACAAAAGCTAAATTATAGTAAAACCTTATTGGAATTGGATTCTAAAAAACATTTTATTATAATTTTTAAACGTGTTAATACAATTCTCACTTGAATAAGAGCATGGGTTATGTTAATAATCTGTAATAACAGGCTATTGCATTTTGCAATTTTCTTTGATAAATGCCCTTGAAACATGCGAAAGAAACATCTAAGTATAAAGTATTTCTTTACATAATTTTATCTGAGTAAAAGCTAAACACAAAATTTTACATATAAAAAATAATGTCAATAAAAATAAATTTAACTGCTTATTATCAGAGACCACAATACTGAAACAATTTTGTGATTTCTCCTGTATTTTCTTTTTCTAAATCTTGTGGTTCCCATCTAGTTATAGGAATTTTTGACTTGACTTGGATTTGAAAAAAATATAGGTTTGTCCATATAGTTCTACCTACTTATAAACATGTATATATTAAACAACAACTGTATAATTATGTAAGTATTAGTATACTGCTGACCCAGCGAAATTCGTGCCGCCAAAAAATAGGGATTTGTGGGAGAAGGTGGAAAATTTCGGTTTGTATGAATTTTTAATGCTGAAAAAAAAATGTTTTTAGGGTGCACCATATTAAAAAATATTACATTATTTCCTTTAAATAGTGATAAGCACTAGCTTAATACTAGAAATAAAAATAAATTAGCTGTACCAATTACAAGGCTCCACAAAATCAATTATTCATTTAAAGGTCTTTTTATACGCCTCTGCAACAAAGTCCCTAGCAATATCCAAAAATTAAGCGTCAATAAATTTAAAACTACAATTAAAAAAGTTCTATTAAAAAACCTATAATAATGTGTCTGAATATATTTCAGACAAAAATGCTTGGGTTTAAACTGTTCCAAACGATCCGGCAGGCTTTTTCTATAATTATGATGAAGATGAAATGATTTTGTATTGACACCGTAACAATATAATATTTTGTAAATGTGTGAAGTTTTTTTCGCCAGTTTTTCTCCACAGCTAAAAAATACCTTATCTGGTGGGGGAAAAAATATGCACGATTCAAAAGAGTTGTTTGTGCATCCAATTTGTATAAAGATATTTTGACTTTTCACTTTTTTGACCACCTTATTACTTAGGGGTATGAAAAATAGTTTGAATACGTATGTTCTCAGACCTACTGAATAAACATAAAAAAATCATAAGAATCGGTCAAGCCGTTTTGGAGAAGTTTTGGAACAAACACTGTGACACGATTTTATAATAATAGATTATACAGGGTGGTCCAATTAGTGACGATAACATTTTTTTTAGATTTCTCGCACCTGGGGGTATCCGAAAATACCCTATGCCTGTTTTCGAGTTATATTTTTTTTGTGTATTTTTAATGATTTCTGCCAGCGTGGTTTCAAAAATTCATATCTTTTTTCGTAGTAGGTATTTTGCAGTATTTTTTTTGTGACATAATTGTCTTGAATGGTGTTTTAATAAAAAAATAACTCGGCTTTCTGAAATTACTTAAAGGTAGAACTTACTATTAAAAATACTATTTATTACTTTCAAGCCTTTTTTGAGTAACTTTAAGTAATTTCAGAAAGCTGAGTTATTTTTTTATATTAAAACAACATTCAAGACAATTATGTCTTAAAAAAAGACTGCAAAATAGCTACTACGGAAAAAGGGTATGAATTTTTTAAACCTCGCTGGCAGCAATCATTAAAAATACACAAAAAAAATATACCTCGAAAACTAAGAAAAGTCGCGGAACATACATAGGGTATTTACGGATAACCCCATGTGCGAGGAATCTAAAAAAAATTGATGACGTCACTAATTGGACCAACCTGTATGTAGTTAATGGCATTGGTATCAATATCTAAAAGTGTTCCTTCCTTCCTTCCTTTTAATTTTTTTATCTATATTGAATTTTTGACATTGTTCAATTGCCCCAATGTGGCCCAAATAAATAGAAAAAAAAAACATAATATTATAAACTTTTTCCGAAAGTATTTACTTAGTGTCGTCGCACACGGGCCACACGCCACAGCCACAAACGCCGCCACGAGAAGCTAGAAGCGGCTACTAAAGTGGATGAAGCGCGCGACAGTGGCCGACTAAGGTAAGGGAGAGAGGGGTGGGGAATCGTGCGAGTGGCGTGTGGCGGCGTTTTGTATCGGCGCATTAAGTGGCCGGTGCGGGCCACAAGAAGCGAGCAACGACGAATTGTAGCGTGTGGCGGCCACCGGCGTACCGTGTGTGGCGAGTCCATATAAAATGTATGAAAACTACAAGTGGCCCGTGTGCGGCCACACTTAGTGTTGGTTGCAAATTATTGTTTAATTTTATAGGCAACTTTGTTCCGATATTGCTACGTGGGCTTATTAACGGAGACCTCTAATAGCTACTAGTTAATGATTATTAATGCACTGCGGTCAATATAGCGGTTTCGATAGCAAACGACAACATAATCTATTTCAATTATGTATTAAATTAACGAGGAATTGAGGAGCTCAATGGCACAAGTGGTTGGCGCGTTCGGCTGCGATCGTTGAAGTTAAGCAAATTTCGCAGTGGTCGGTCATTGGATGGGTGACCAAAAATTTAGTATCTCGAGCTCTTCCGTGTTTCATAAGACACGTTAAATTGTTGGTCCCGGCTGCATCTACAGTCGTTAGCACCAACCAATCCGCACTGGGCCCGCGTGGGGGGTCATGCAACGATATTAAATATCGTTGGGGTCATGGCCCAATCTCCCTATACCATCCATAAGAAAGGCCTGTGTCCCAGCAGTGGGGACATTAATAGGCTGGTGATATGATGATGATGTGAGTAATTAACGAAAATTTCTCTCCCGTGTCAATATCAGTTCTCAGAGAAAAGTTATTCTGCCGCGCTCGAGTAAATCCAAAAATCCCCGCTTGGGCTCCCCTACTATAATAAAAAAGAAACGAAAAATGTAGTTCTAATGTTCACCATGTGGAAATGTGCGCCCTTTTCACATGAGAAAAAGTTTGCTTCATTACATAAATTAGGTACTATTTTCTCGAAAATGTGTTGAAAAACGATGAAAATGTGTTGAAATTTCGTCACGGGCTTAAATTCGTCTACTCGTTTGTAACAACCAACTTACCGCACTAATATTATAAATAACTATAGCAGAGGAAGGCAATACAGTAGGTACAACTTGGAAATCTGATTTCAAAATAAAGTAATGAGTATAGCAATGATTTTCCAGTAGTTTTTATAGTCCTTTTTGAATATCTTTTAAATAAATTGGATCGTCTTATAAACAATGCCATCCGCTTCATCTTCTGTCTTCGTATATTTGACCACATATCTGCTCACAGGTCTCAACTTAAATGGCTCCCTATACGTCAAAGAAGACAGCAGAGAATGTTATGTACTCTGTATTCAATTCTCTTTAACCCACACTCTCCAGAATATTTAAGATCCAAACTTCAGTATCTTTGTGATACACATAATCTTCAACTTCGTTCTACTGATACTCTTGCTCTATCCCAACCTCTCTTTCACTCTGGCTATATGTCTGATTCCTTTGCCCTTCAATCTTCACGACTCTGGAACAGCCTCCCTGACTCCATTAGAAAGTCACCTAATAGGTTCATTTTTAAAAAGAAAATTCATGCACTTGTTCTGGATAGCCTTCCATACTAACGTTATACTCATTTCCTAAGTCCCTTTCAGTCTCATCATCGATATATTTTATATATATGTACGTATGTATATGTTTATTGTAAGTGTATATTTATATATATGTATATATGTGTGTGTATATATTTATACGTCTTGTGCTCGTGTATATTTAATTATTATGTATATAAGATAAGTACTTTCTATTATGGTATATTTATATTATTAATTATTTTTTTACTAAAGCTGCATTCGTGACTTTCTGTACTCCTGAAGGTTGACTGGCAGAGAATGCTTTTAGCGTTAAGTCCGCCTTTTGTCCATTTTGTAATTGTGGCAATAAAGTTTAAACAAATAATAAATAAATAAATAAGATCTTTTATAAAAAAAGTGACTTACCTATCTATTAATTTGCGGTCTTGAAGATACATTTTTTGCCTTAAAATTTATCGAAATAGATTATTGCCCGATTCGGTGTGGTGACCGCACAGTTACAAAAAAGCTTGACCAATTACTAAATAATCGTATGGCACGGAAAAAACCCTATACATATCTAAAATTACGTGTTATTTGTTTTTTGAAACTACTTCACTGCGCGGAAGTTTAATTCGATTTATAAAAACAAACAATATTAAATAGGTACCCAATAGATCAGCCAACTCAATTGTGAATTGACTTTGAAACGAAATAGCGCGCTATGAAAGTTTTTGTTTCGCCATGTCAAAATCTATATATATAAAACTCAAAGGTGACTGACTGACATACACATAGTGATCTATCAACGCACAGCCCAAATCACTGGACGGATCGGGCTGAAATTTGGCATGCAGGTAGATGTTATGACGTAGGCATCCGCTAAGAAAGGATTTTGATCAATTCTACCTCCAAGGGGATAAAATACCGAAGCGAAGCGAGGGCGGGCCACTAGTTTCCTATAAACACAAAGCAGCGCCCCTAGCGAACGTAAGAACAAACTAGCACTTTCCTAAGAAGCTTTGACGATGGCGAATTGGCGATACAAATAGGTACTTTCTCGTTAAAGTTGTCCGTGCTTGCTTGGGGTACTGTAGCCTAAAAGTTTTTTAAAGTAAAACTTCTTTTCCATCGGGGTGTAAATTAGAAAAATCTATGGAAAAGATGGAACGGAAATGGGGCACGAGCGTCACACGACTATGTATATATATATATTTAAATATATATAAATATGTGTGCGTGTGTGTGTGTGTGTGTGTGTGTGTGTGTGTGTGTGTGGGACGCGTGCGCCAGACTCCCGACGAGCATGAAAGCTGAAATTTTTTATTAAATCTTTTCAAAGAACTCTCCACCAGCCTCTATACAAAGTTTCATGCGTCTGAACCAATTTTCAAAACAGTTTTTCCAGTCCAACGCAGACACCTCTTCCACGGCCTTCTCAAACGCTGCTAGCGCTTCTTCCGGCGATGAGAACTGTATCCCTTTAGGGAATAAAAAGAAGTCACACAGAGCCAAATCAGGTCCCAAAAATCTTGACTAGTGTCGAGTCCAGGAAGTCCTTCGTTTTTATCGCAGAGTGCGCAGGCGCGTTGTCTTGGTGAAGAAGGACTCCGCGGAGCCCGGTGTTAGGTCGCTTGTTTCTCATTGCAGAAAAACGTCTGGCAGGCATTTTGTTCTATACCATTCGGCGTTGATGCTGCTTTGTTCTCGAAGTGGAATTGAAATTAGATACCCCGTCAAAGTGACGAAACTAGCGATCAAAATTTTCCCTGCGCTCCTCGATCGCTTCACTTTCGTAGGCGTTGGTCCATTTTATAATAATAATATACTTTTATTTTTAAGACACAAGATCCATAAACCCATAAATTACAAATTATTTCATACATTACAATTTATAATGATATTAGTATTATATATGTCGGAGTGGGCGAGCGGTAATATAGGCGGTTGGCCACGTGGTTTTTCTTGATCCGCCATCTTGGTTATTCAATGATATTTCCCCAAAGTAAAACTGTAGTCTAGTGACCAAGCTAACGTTTAATTTGAATCTTCTTATTACTTTTCAAAATCAGTTATGATTGCCAAGGTACAAACGGATTGCTTTGTGAAGCGCGGAGAGTTCTGTGCTAACGTCCGTTCACTATCGCGGCTCACGTCTGAATGCTGAATGCCGAATGCCAAAATGCCCCTTCCAATGAAGCATAGCCCCTTAAATACTACCCTTAGCATAGACCACTCCCAAGTGATGACAGCTGTCACTGTCATTACTTGACGTTTCACAAAGCAATGGTACACTGACTGATGACATTTGTTGTCAGTTTAACGTTTCGAAGGAGCGAGTGCGACGCCATCCGCCGACACGGCCATCCTGCAGCATCACACGTCCTCGTGTGCGTCTGTAAAGAAATATCACGCCAGTAGTATTTACCATTGCTCGGTCATCTCTGACCAATAAAACGCCGTTACACAACAATCAGATTTGTTAAAGCTCCTTTTGCAACGATGTGAACAGGTTGATTACATACTAACTAAACGTAGCCCATAATTAATAGACTTCAAAGGACTTCTGAAGTTCTAGCTCAAAATAAAATTTAAACTTAGCATCCGAACATTCCGAACATATGCCGCGATTCTCGACAGTGCCTCCCAGTGCCTCCATCAAGCACATAGCCAACAACGCCTCCATCAAGCGTTGTGCTATACCCCTAACTAGCGCCTCAGTAACACCTCCATCAAGTGCTACTGAATTTAATCACGCAATGTGTCGGAAACCTCGGGTACATGATCATTACTCTGATCAACTAACTCTTCTAAATCTATTTGAGCTTCAGGCATCCTTCTCAGTCTATCGTGAGCATACCTGTATGTTCTTTTGCAATCTAATGCCTTTAACAAGTAACGGTCCCTATCAAGTGACGATAACCTTGCCACCTCTAAGTGACGATAACCACACGTTGCCTCAAGCAACCTAGCCAACTTATTGCCTAAATCGAGCAATACATCAGGTCTCTGACCTTAGCAAAGCATAATTAAAATCAACCAAGACAGTTTAATCGACAATATTCTAATTAGTCAGACATAGACTCAGAATATTGGTCAGTGGGCTCTACATCGTCTTTATCACTAGTCTCAGTAGGAACATCGACAACTACAACACCGGTTAGAGTAGAGTTATTTTACCACCTGTACAATTATTTTACTGTGGTCTTCTGTAAGATAGAGGTTACTTCCCTATGCGTGCGCTGCAATTCTAGCGGAAAATCCACTATGTCCTACTCATTAGCAACTCTAATTTATCAACACTCAGCACTTGAATCGTATGTAAAATGAAAACTGCTCACCGGGCAAGTCGTGGCGGTTTGCTCGCGCTGCTAATGTTGCTCTTCAGACTGCTCCATGAACAGTTCTTCCGTGGTGAATGAAGTTATCCTAGTTCGCGTTGAATTCATGCAAGTGAATCTTTTTGTTAGCCGACGGTAACTTCATCACTTCAACAACGGCCATAAAGTTGCGTTTTCGGTGCTTCACAAATCTCATCCATCGCTCGTCGCCATTACTGACGTTTTTACGCTGGTTTTTATCACTGGGTAATCCCGCTTCTGATGTTGGAGTGGGCGAGCGGTAATATAGGCGGTTGGCCACGTGGTTTTTCTTGATCCGCCATCTTGGTTATTCAATGATATTTCCCCAAAATAAAACTGTAGTCTAGTGACCAAGCTAACGTTTAATTTGAATCTTCTTATTACTTTACAAAATCAGTTATGATTGCCAAGGTACAAACGGATTGCTTTGTGAAGCGCGGAGAGTTCTGTGCTAACGTCCGTTCACTATCGCGGCTCACGTCTGAATGCTGAATGCTGAATGCCGAATGCCAAAATGCCCCTTCCAATGAAGCATAGCCCCTTAAATACTACCCTTAGCATAGACCACTCCCAAGTGATGACAGCTGTCACTGTCATTACTTGACGTTTCACAAAGCAATGGTACACTGACTGATGACATTTGTTGTCAGTTTAACGTTTCGAAGGAGCGAGTGAGACGCCATCCGCCGACATATATAAACAGAAGTCAAATTACTACATTCACAAATACAAAAACAAATTACATTAGAGGTCATGATAGGCGTGTCATGATTCAGGATGCTAATTCTCCGTCAGACCTGAATGACCTGATATAATAGTTCCTACACTCCTCAACCCTGGACATAAATTTGACGATGTGGTTTCTTTAAATTTTGAAACAGCCAAACTGACGACGAATGCTTTGTTTCTGGATCGTATTGATAAATCCAGGATTCGTCTGTCACAATATCGTAAACGCGCCCTGACGAGCCTGATTTTTTTTTTCTATCATGTCACTGCACCAATCCTCACGGACCTGTTTCTGAGCTTCGGTGAGGTTGTGCGGCACCCAGCGGGAAACTATACTCCTTACGCAAAGGTGCTCGTGCGAAAATTTGTGAACACTTCGTAAACTAACCTGCAGAGTAAGCTGAATCTCTTCGTATGTAATTCGACTGTTTTCTTGAATTACATTTTTTACTGCCAACATACTTTCTTCGGTGACAGCTGCCGTCGTAGGACGACCACTCCTTTGATCATCCCCCAAAGTAAGACAACCGCGTTTGAACTCGCTATACCAGCGGTGGATGGTTGCTTTTGAAGGTTCTTCATCCATAATAGCAGTTCGAATCCTATCAAATGACTCATCAGGCTTTAAGCCACATTTAAAATCGTAAAAAATCATAGCACGAAAATGTTCTCGATGCAGATCCAATTTTTAATGAGACAAGAAAAAATTAATAGGCCCTCGAAAAAATTCGGAGGAAATTTGAAAATAGAACCTTGGTATTTTTACTTTCAAATAATCGAAGTTTCCAAAATAATTACAAGTGGCCAGTATCTTATACATAAAAACTTTTATCGCAAAACTTTCTGAGTGGCCTGGTATATGAGTGATGGAACAGCGTACGCATCACTCATATACCAGGCCACTCATTCCTCTACGCCTTATGCACCGCCTAATGTAAGGTTATTTAAGAAAAGAAATTTAACTTCAGATGTGTGGTCCGTGCACACTATGTTTTTGTAATTTTCTAATTTTTAATCATAATATTTTACAGATGATGGCTATTCGCTCTTCGCCTTTCACGGCAAGCTCAATGAAGAAATGAATGGCTTAGAAGCGGGCCAGTGGTCCAAAGACATCACAAGGGCCAAGGGTGATCGATGGACCTTCCTAGACAGAAACGCTGTATTGAAGCTGGGAGACAAGATATACTTCTGGACTTTCGTCATCAGGGATGGCCTGGGGTACAGACAGGATAACGGCGAGTGGACAGTCACAGGTTTGTACCTTCTTAATTTTGGTAGACATCTCAGAACAAGAACAAGTTTTTTTTTATAACACTTATTTATTTATTACTTTTTAAGTTGGTGAATATACGGTTTAATAATAGTGAGAGACGAAAGGAAGAGGTGAGGAAAGGAAACGAAACAGAAAATAAATAAAAGGTTTAAAGGATGGGAGTAAGAGTGTAAGAGAAAAGGTATAACAATCTTCCATGAAATACACTCATTGACGTAATACCTACATTCAATATTAAGTGTCTCACAGACAGACGCCGCCCGCGGCTGCGGCCGGGTCGTGAAACACTTTAAACTTAATGATAAAATAAACAATAGAAATTACAAAAAAATATTAATAAAAAAATATAAGATCACATGTTCAATAACAGTTATAGTTAAATATTAAACAATAGGGTGTTAATAAATTCCACAACACATTTCTGTCTACATACAATTCCTGATGAAGATTTCTTTTGCTATAGCAACGCTGCGCAGAATCTCATGACACATCGTCAATTTTTCACAGAAATGTTTGCACTACACTAACTCTAAGTACTTAAGTAAAAATACACTAGTGATTAAGTGTATATTTTACTTAACCAGGAATCTGTATTGTGTCATCTCAGTAATGAGATTTGTTTACACCCCAATTAATGAGGTGTTGTTATATTTTTTTATTGGTTAACTTTTTAACGGTCTGCCAGCCCAGTTCTGTTCCTGGGCAGCTGACTTCCTGCGTGATCTTAGAATTCGTGTCCTTACGGATGGTAGTAGTTTGCGGTTCATGTCAGTGAATGCCGGCGTTCCTCAGGGCTCCGTCCTATCCTCCACTCTCTTTCTGCTGCGTATCAATGACTTAATTCCTCTTGGGAATATTCATTGCTATGCAGATGATAGTACAGTGCATGGGGGGTATCTCGGACAAGCAGCGGCTGGACAGGCAGAAACCAGGGAATAACGGGACAATCTTGTTATTGAACTCAATCAGGCTTTGCACCACATTTCTGAATGGGGTACTAAGTACTTTCACGGCAAAAACATCGCCATTCCTTTCATGTCCTTCTCTTCAGGGCACAACACTGGAGCTAGAGAGCAGTATCACCATGCTCGGTATGGAAATTCGCTGTGACTAATATCCAAAGAATTACATCGAAAGCGTGGTAAAACGACCTCACGCAAACTCGGAGTCCTGAACGAGGTGCGGCGTTTTTTCACGCCCGAGCAACTGTGCTTGTTGTATATGACGCAGGTGCGGTCTTGCGTGGATTATTGCTCGCACCTCTGGGATGGTTCCGCCAAGTACTTGCTCGATGCTTTGGATAGGTTACAGCGGCGTGCGATCCGCATCATAGGCGATGAGGAGGTGACTAAACACCTGAAGCCTCTTCAATTACGCCACGACGTTCTATCATCTGTATCACGGCGAGTGTTCTGAAGAGTTATTCTCTCTCATTCCACCTTCCCCTTCCCTCCAGAGGAACACGTGCGCTGGCCTTCGGTGTTACCGTCTAACTGTGGCCACAATTCCAACGCGTACAAAGAAATTTGGAGACTCAGTTCTTTGTCGCACTATCCGTAAATGGAATGCTCTGCCTGCCCACGTGTTCCCTCCTTCTTACAACCTGGGATCCTTTAAAAGAGGCCTGAAGAAGCAACATGCAGGCCGGCAAGGTGAGGATGGCTGGTGTGGCAGGTAGAACTGCTGTACCAGCCATCTTCACGTCTGGACTTCACCATCACTTAACATCAGGTGGGGTGGAGTCATTTGTCGGACCTATCTATATAAAAACAAAACGTTATTTCTCTCTTTTATTATAATTTACGATACCGATTTCGGTTAATTCTTACAAAACAGTTACAATTTACTGCAAGGTATTTATGCTTAGGCAATATTTTTGCGTTGCATTTTTCTACATTCGCGTTACAACAACGCATCGCAAAAATGACCGAGGTCGCACCGCAGTGACTTAGTAACTCTTAGCACTAAAATGATAATACTAAAGCTCAGCTACAGTTTGTTAATATGTTTATCTTTTCCTAACAGTTAGGATTAGGGGATTAAACAATTAAGGGTAATATATTAAGATCCTAAGTAAGTGGTAAGCCATCAAAACTTGATGAGATAATTTATATCCCTAAAATTAGCCAGTCAGTCTTAAATGTTATACATTATTATGTACTAGCGGCCGACGCCGAGTAAGTTAGAAATAAAGGTTCACTGCTCGTTCCCCGTAGGTGATAGCGTGATAATATGTAGCCTATATGTTGACCCGACTTCTTAATAATATTCGCGCCAAAATTTAAGTAAATCCATGCAGTACTTTTTGATTTTATCCTGGACATACATACAGACAAAAATTCTAAAAACTATATTTTTGGCTACGGTATCGATTGTAGACCACACCCCAAGTATTCTTTAAAAAAATATTCATTGTACAGTTTTGACTTTCCTATCATTTTATTATATGTATGTATAGAATAATATAAGGAAAAATTAAGAGAAGTATTTATATGATCCCTCAAAGGTCAAATTGGTGTCTCACCAAGTAGTAAGTTAGATTATAAATTAGATTTTTTTAACTTCAATACATAAAGTCGGTCAAAATTTCAGGGAGGATTACCTGCATCTTTTCACTCTCTGGACGGAAATACTGACCGCTATCGAGGCCTTAATGATCGTGTCGAATTTCTCATTGTGTTTTTCGGCTGCAAGGCACCTGGCACATTGACCGAGTGGAGTTTATTCAAGTTAAAAATTTATATTAAATTTTTATAACTACACCGTGAATTTTGAGTTATACTATAAAACTTCACTCACTAATTCAGACAACGATTTAGGTTATATTTCCGCAAAAAGAAATCTTAAAATTATTCTTTTCGAAAAATGTCTCTTCTTTTACTCACTAATTGTGTAATTATGAAACCTTAGCAATTTTAATTATTATAAATTGATTCAAATAAAAGTAACTTTAGGATTTATTATGGAATTATTATCCGTTTAAAGTACCTAACTTGAAAGGGATTATAATCCATAACAGTTATGTTATTTAAAAAATTACGCTGTTTTAGAATATTTTCTAAACTATATAAATTAATATTGAGTTATGTGTGTGGTGGGCAGACGATATTGATTTAATTAAAAAAAATGGGTGCGTGTACTTATGTAGGCGCGTGAGAAGTTATCCTTCTTTGGCATCGTTTAAAATTAGTTTTTAATTGCATGCAAATAATTAATTACAATAAATTAATAAAAAGTCTGGAAAAGGACACAGTCAATAAAGTTCAGTTTTAATTTGAAAAAATAAATAAATAATCAAAATATTCAATTAAAATCGCTACTGAATATAATTTATTAGAACATATGTGATTTGCACTTGTATGAAACTCAAACCCGTATTCCGAATATACAAACTAGAAACATGTGGATAAATATTATAAATATGAATACCTATAACTGTTACTTTATTTCAAAAAATAAAGATGTGGTTTTTGGTTCTACTACACCAATGGTCAAGAGATGGCGCTGTAGTCTCCTGAATCGCGCTTTGGTTCCGTTGTTCCAGATTAATAAATACTTTTGATAGGCCTTCACAATGCAGTCGTTAGCACCCACTAAATAGAGATTCTATTTCTATTTTGTTGGTAGATTTTCTTAATGTGCGGTAAACTCAAAAGTAACGCATGAAGTTGGTCGCTAAAGCGACCAACTTCATGCTGTTAAAAATTTGTGTTACAGTGATGCGCGCGCATCTTAAAATTTCACTCTCATCATTTTTTCATAACGCGCCTAAAGAAGTATAACTTCAATAGTAAAATGAGTTGATGAACTTAATATTTTTTGTTTTTTTTTTGTCTTTTAAATATCATTAATTGCCTATTTCTTGTATTTTACGAAACATATATATCTATGTGCCATTTATCGGCCTCCTAACTTAAACTCGAACATCTTTACATCATTGCAAAAAATATTACACACATTACCCAAATTAAATAATTGTATAATTTGCGAAGATATAGATACTAAGGTTCATTATGCTTTAAAATAAATAAAACGATATCTAAACATGACATTTTCAGGATTCGTTGACGAAGCCGGATCACCGGTAGATTCTTCTACTGATTCTACTACTCCAGCTGCAGTGCCTGTCGATATTATGTCTCCTACGCCAATTTCGCCTGCACCAATTCCTGCTTCACCCGAAAATGCAGTACCAATAAGTCTCAGTACAATATCAGCGGCACCTCCAAACAGCGCGGACGATAATACAAAGTACCCCTGTGAAATATCAGTCTCTAAAGTATCGGTGCCTGGGTTCGTGTGTAAGGGACAACTGCTGTTCGAGGACAACTTCAACTCTAACCTGGAGAAGGGAAAGGTCTGGACTACTGAGATCATGTTCCCTGGAGAGCCGGTAAGGTTTCCGAAATTGTATTTCACCATAGTATTTGCATGCAATGGGTACTTAAAAAGTTGACATACATAATTTTAAAAGAATGCCGTTTATATTATCCCATAAAATAAAATTATACTAGATGAAACATCAGCTAAAAGAGGTTCCTAAACTTTCATTTCTCATAGACCTCTCTCGAAATTTTACTGGTTTCGGTGGACCCTCTGCTACTACATTTGTACCAAATTGACAAAATTTGTCATAAAGTGAGAGGATTAGATCTAATAATGGAATTTCATGTCGCGGCTGAGATAAAAAACCTTGATAGAGTATTCAGACGGCTTAGGCAAAATACAAAGATTTCTAGCGCTAATTTCGAAGTTATCCTTTTTATTTATTCTTAAATTCAAGTTTCTTAATTTCAACATCTTAAATGGTATTTACCATGACAATATAATGCAAACCTTTGAATTGATTAGAAGTCAGATAGGGAATTTTGGAAAATATACATACTCTTTTTGGGAAGCTTAATTCATGATTCATACTTTTGTTTGTAGGACTTTCCGTTTAACGTGTATTTAAACGATCGCAATTTGCGAGTGAGAAACGGTATGCTGAAAATCCGGCCCGTTACACTGGAGTCCAAGTATGGGGAAGATTACGTCACGCAGTCATTGGATCTAACTTCAAGGTAAATAATAACACGCAGACAAGAATTAAAGAGAGGCAGGTCAAAGCTGATCCTCTAGGATTGCATTTTTTAGGTGAACGTGCTATTCAGGATATCAAGAAAAATATGATAAAATATTTGACATGGCAATAAAAAAGAATTAAAATGGGAAGGTTACAAAACCTTGCCTAGCAAAATGAAACAACCAATTGTATATGTATCATTATATGTATTCTATCCGCTACCCAAGCCTACACTGCTTACTTTGGGACAAGGCTTATTGGTGTGAGTGTTGAAAATATTGTTTATTGATTATTGGTGGTAAAATTATTTATTGTCGGCAGGTGTACCGGCGCAGTAGGCACAGATCAATGCGCCCGGGAATCCTTCGGGCCTCAGATCCTTCCTCCCATCATTACGGCCAAAGTCACCACCAGGAACCGATTCAACTTCATGTACGGCCGCGTGGAAGTCAGAGCCAAAATGCCGGTCGGAGATTGGCTTGTACCATGTCAGTATAGTTTTATCAACCAATATCACTTTAAAAGGATAAAATTCATTGTTAACACGATAAAATACAGCGTATGGCCGTATACCGAAAGAAAGCTGGAAGCCGACCAGCGTTTCTCAGCGGTGCTTACTGGTAACAGTAACATAAAGGAAGCAGATTGTAGCGTACTGGCGCAGCGGTGACACTCTCTGTACGTGAGAGTTCCAGCGTCAGTGACCTTGAGCAGGAGCGTGTATGCGCTAGGGTTGAACCGAATTGGAATTTAGACTTGTGCCAATGAATATTTATGCATAGGAAGTTATTAAACGTAAACTGATTCAAGGATACTGGGGTAAGTAATGAACGATAGGTTTGATTTTATAATCAATTTTTAATCTTTTAATGTAGGTACTATTTCAAATTACTAACTCTTATATATTTTCTGCATATTGGATTCGTTTTATAATTCTTATTATTATCTAAATAATAATAAGATTGCGTAGCGTAGTCAGTCTGTGCGTGCAATGCAGTGCAACGCTATTATTTTACTATTTCGCTACTGCCATGCCTTCGGTCGAGGCAGTCGGCGACTGCCTTCTCCACGCCCCGCGCGCCGCGCTTCGCCCCCGCACACCTCCAGACACCCACACATAGCAGCGGGCGATTTTACGAGCACACATGCTTAAATGTCGTTTCTTTTCGCGTAGTGTATATATTCTGTGGTACTGGGCGATGCCAGCGCTGATCAGTGCGTGTCGAAGCTTGTCGGCGACATCCGGCGCTTATCGGCGCTGGTCCTTAGAAATGCTTGCGCCGGTTACCTGCGCGAACCGGCTACCAGATTTCTTTCTGTATACGGCCTATGTCACTGAGAATTTTTTTTGAGTTTATTCGTTACAAATAGACGATAAACATCTTTCCTGTAGGCATAGACGAAATTTAAAACTGTTTAGAAAAAAATACAATACTATAACCATACACTTAGAGGGTGATCACTCGCATGAAATTGACACTGTTCAGAAAGAGAAAGCCCAGCCTGCCTAGCATGAGCACCGCGATATGATGTAATTATGTCCCCGCTACTGGGGCACAGGCCTTTCCTATGGATGGAATAGGGAGTTTGGGCCATGACCCACCATGCGGGCCTAGTGCCGATTGCAGATGGAGGCGGGACCAACGGCTTAGCGTACCTTCCGAAGCACGGAGGAGCTCGAGATAGTAAATTTTAGGTTACCCATCCAATGACCGACCACTGCGGAAGTTGCTTAACTGAATCTTTCGTCAAACAAACATCAAATCATACGCCATTGGTTCTAAAAACACCAAAATTAATGTCACTTCAGCGCTGTGAACAATAAAAATCTTTAAAAAAATTGACTTGCTTAAGCGCCAAAAAAGTACTCAAATCTTCACGAAAATATAATTCTATAACTCATTGAATCAGATTTTTGAAGAATGATATACATCCTTTCAAGTGATGAAAACTATATATAATGCGATTCAACTAAGAATAGGACCGACTGGGCGCCATATTTTGACGTCATAGCTGTCAATTCAAACCAAATGGGTAGAGTGAGCAAAAAAATTTTGCTATTTAATAAAACTTATTTACTAAGACTAAGTGAGACAAAACATCAGATTTTTTAATAAAATTAATTTACTAAGGTTGAGAAAGAACAGAACCGATTTTTAATAGTATTTCATTATGAATTAATTTTTCATTTCATTTCATATTAAGACTGTGTGAAAAAAACATTAATCAGAATCTAGCTTTTCAATTTCGCTCATCTCTGCATTACCGTCGGAGAAGTTATGAATAATCATGCAGGTCACATACGAACATGCATCCTATATGTAAACAAAAGTTTTAAATAGAGTTTCTGAACGCAACTTAAAGTGACATTTGGTTGACGATATAGTTTATCAACCATTCATAGTCAATACTCAATAAGTGAAAAAAAGAAACAAATAATATTAATCATCAACATTTGTTATTGTTTGTTTAAAATTGTTTGGTTTTTATTCTAGAATCAGCTGAGTGCTAAAAAAGTGTTTCGAGATTTTTTTGCAAACCGTACTTTTCAAGCGACATTTGACAGATGGCGGTCATTGGCTTTCCTATTCTTATTTGAATCGCATTATACATGTCTTTTTTTGTGTCACTAAACAGAATAACAGCGCTGGTGCGACACAATGTAGCATCAGCTAATGCTGAGGCAGGATCCTGGTTAGCCCTGAGATTTTTGAATTTGTATATGTAAATGTGTAAATAAGGGTTAATAAAATATATTCTATTCTATATAACTCATTTTGGACCAAAATGGCATTTAAGCGATTTTGCCTTTCCACTGTCAATATTCATCGATGCTTCTCATAACATGTATCTTAGTTAGCGAGGAGCTCCATGGCGTGGGTGGTTAGCGCGTTCGACTGCGATCGTTGAAGTTAAGCAACTTTCGCAGTGGTCGGTCATTGGATGGGTGAACAAAAATCTCGAGTTCCTTCGTGCTTCGGAAGGCACTTTAAACCGTTAGTCCCGGTTGCATCTGCAGTCGTTAACACCCGCCAATCAGCACTGGGCCCGCGTGGTGGGTTATGGCCTAATCTCCCTATTCCATCTATAGGGAAGGCCTGTCCCTCAACAGTGGGGACATTAATAGGCTGATGATGATCTAAGTGGCGTTATAATAAAACAGTAGTCTATCACTAAATAGCTCGGTGATTAGACCATTACTTTCATCTGTCAAAAGCACTGGCCTACTGGTCGTATGTCTATGGATAGTACGCATTAAATATTATATAGTTTTTTCGTACCAATTGCTCAAAAAAGTGACATTCTATGCCACAAAAATTGAACATAACAATAGTCATTTTTAATCTGTTAAAAACAGGGAAAGAAAATTATACTGAATTTCATTCACCTCTAGGGGGAGAATGTGATTTAAATTTGGAAGACTTACCGAAATTTATACTGAACTACATCTGTGTTTACACCATTGAGTTTTGTATATAAAGCATTATACATCTTTTTGAAAAAGGAATACGCATTTATTGTGCAGTTATGATCTATACATATAATAAATCTGTAGAGAGGTCAAATCTGTACATGAAATATATTTTCAAAATAACTATCAGGGGGTGATTAGTGGTCGATACTGATGCCAAAAATGCAATAAGTAAAATTTTTGTCCGTCTGTCTGTCTGTGTGTATGTTCCTTATAGAAACAAAGCCTACTCGACAGATTTTAACGAAACTTGGTACAATTATTCTTCATACTCCTGGGCAGGTTATAGTATACTTTTCATCACGCTACAATCAATAGGAGCAGAGTAGTGAAGGAAAATGTTGGGAAAACGGGAGAAGTTACTCCATTTTTTAAGCTTCCGTCGCGTGTGCAGCCTTAATGGTTAAAGTTACATAGAAATCATGTATGACCGAAATATTCTACATAAAATTATCTAAAAAATATTTCGCAACAGCATATGTCTATCTTTTATGGTTGACTCACAATAACACGTGTAACTCCTGATAGCTTCAGGAGCATTCTGATTGTATTTGTTTACTCTTACGTTTATAATACTCTCACTCATCCCTAATTTTAAAAAGTTAACATTATTACCTATTCAATCAATAAAAAGAGAATCATAGAAATCGGTATAGAAACACCAAACTTATACATGAAATAAGCCATCGCGCCGTCGCACGTGAATACTGAATCATGCTATAAGGATTATTTTTGTGTAACGGTTGCCGCGCTCGACACGGGTCGCGGCGGCGGTAGGGTGTAAAAAGGCGGGAGGTCCGAAAGCGAGCTTCCCCCCCCCCCCCCCCGATCCTGAGAGACCTTCAGTCACTCTGGTCTAAACCGATACGGATGCACATCAGAGTGCATCCGTCCTCTAAGCGCACTATGCAGTAGTATTTACTAAGGCAGCGCTGCATCATCCCCTTCTCAGGGGTTGATCGCATCAGATGAAGCCTGTATGGCCCCTAAGGCCATAGGCATCCCCCACGGGTGTGTTTTAGTCAGTAAGAGTCTGACATAACCCTACAGCCGGCTGTAGGGTATCCATAAGGATTTCACACCCGCTCGCCCGCCTGGGAGGAAACAAAAAAAAGAAAGCGAGCTTCATTCAATATTTGGATGTTGATGCGTTCAGAGCATTCAACCTTATTGACAGACAATAATTGATATTAAGAAACCGTAAAAGAATAAAAACCAAACATTTGTAAACAAAATTAGCAAATAAATCATGTAAAACGTGTAGAAAATGAGTACTGGAAAACGGAAATATGAGAATTTTAGTTTGATTATAAATACAGGTAATAAAAATGACCGTTTTTATCTATATCTTTATATATATAATTCTTCTGTGAGTGTGTATGTCACTGAACTTCTCTTAAACGACTGGACCGATTTTGATGAAATTTTTTGTGTGTTTCAAGGGGATCTGAGAATGGTTTAGATTCACAATTTTGTCCGCTGGACAATGTTTTTTTAATTTTTTTTTTTTTATGGCGGTACGAAGTTCGCTGGGTCAGCTAGTTATTAAATAAAATTACGAAAACCGACGAGGCCGTATTTAATTGGACCAATGTTTCGAATGTTAACTTTTACTTTTATTTATTTTTAATAAATGTTTATCTCGTATTATGTTAATTTTTTCGCAAATGGTACGAAAAGTAGAGTATTTTCCTCGGTGATAAAGCTGTCTTAGTCTTGGGTGAACTTAAATCCCTCGCTACACTCAGGACTCGTCTTAAGTTTTTATCACCCTCGCTACGCTCGGGAGTAAAGCTCGAGTCCTTCGTTACGCTCGCCATTTAAATCGTCACTCGCGACAGAAGACACTGCTTTATCCCCTTGGTTAATAATAATCTACTATTTTATGTTATTCAGTATTATTATTATGTTTTAATTGTAAACAGTAATACAATTGGAGCCCCACGACCACACATACGGAGTCAGAAACTATGCGTCTGGTGTATTACGCGTGGCTTGCGCTAAAGGGAACGCCGAATACTATAAGAAGCTACAAGGGGGACCCATAATGTGCGACACTGAGCCGTATAGGTAAAGTATATTTGAGGAGCTGGCGAACAAAACGGCATAACTTGCAGTCAATTTTTCCTAGGAAAAGGTCGATGCGGCCATCATGGCTGTGGTAGCATAATTGGTCAGTGCATTCGCCCGGATTGCGAAGGGTGCGGGTTCGAGTCCCGTCCGCTGCCTGGTCCGCGTGGATTTTTTTTTTCTAGTAAAATTTTTTTTGGATTTAGACATCTAGCAGTTAAATGCTAAAAAAAAACATAACCATAATTGCTATTTCTTCTTTCAAATAAATATTCTTCTTAAAAATACTTAAAAAGTATTCATTTGACATTGTGGCTTACCTACAATGCCAAAAGATGGCACTGCCTTGCAGCTTAAGGCTAGGAAAATTTCGACGCTGCCAATAGGGCCGTAGTAGCAGATAGTAAATATTTGGTCTCCCATCCCTTGCTCGGTCATTGCGAAAGTTGCATATCTTTCACGATTTCACTACACCTTTGATGGTGCTCTTCAATTTTCAAAATTAATGGTAAATAACGTAAACAATTTAAAACTAAAACATACATTCTGTGGTCCAAATAAATGAAAACCAGCGAACAAGTGAACTATTGGAATTTACAATTAAATGAGTAAATATTTTTCAGGAGTACACATTTGAAGGAAAAAATTGGCTACGAGCAATGGGCAAATCATTTTCACATCTACAGTCTTGAATGGAGGCCAGGTATATTTTTTAAATAATCGTTTATTACAGGAATGCACTTAAAATCAATTACCTAATAAATTTAAGAAGAAATTTGTAATTTCTACATCGCTGAAGATATAAAATACATTTATTACCAAAAATATTTTTATTCGCTTCAATAGAAAGATGTTACAGGTCGTTGTCATTACCCAAATCGTCTCTAGCATAGAACACAGTAAGAGGTTAGAAGAAAGATCATGATGACCGTTTGTACGGGAACCGATGTCGCCAGCTCGCCCCCACTACACTTCCACCTAATAGATAATAGCCAATCAAACGACGCGACATAAATCTAACATCACCATCGCACCAATCAGTGCTCACACCCAAGAGCATCGACGCAATCAGAACCAAATATTGGTTAAGTTATTATAATAAATAAATAAATCTTTATTGCGTGTATGGAACAAGGTAACATGAAAATACAGGTCTTAATGCTAATGTACAGTGTCATTTGATCCTACCTTTTCAGGTGTATACACATTTATATTGTACGTATAGGAACCGTTTGAATATTCCTATTTATATTCTAAATACTCTTGGATACTATAAAAACATTTTTGGCTAAGCCAATCCTTAAGTTTTTTTTTAATTTAAAAAGTTTTAGTTCTTTGAACTTGTCTGGTAATGTATTGTAAATTTTAATGCACATAATAAAAGTGTTTTTAGCTGCTAAAGACAATTTTGTAGCAGGCCTATGGAGCTTATTTTTATAAACTGAGCGTAAATTTCGATTACTTATTTGATGATTATATTTAAATAGATACTTATGTTGGTGTACAAATGTAATTATATCAAGAATATACAGGCGATAACTGTGGCGTGGCTACCTCGCCCACAAGGCCATTCTAACCTCTTTCTGTATTCTGTGCTAGAGAGCACAGTGTTTAACGCTCGCTTTATTTAAAAGGAAACTTTATAACCATCAGTTACTTACTCCGTTAAACTTTTGAAACAACGAAAATATCATGTTTCCTACAGACGGCATATCTTTGTCCGTGGACGGCGAGAAATACGGCGAAGTTAACGCCGGATCCGGTTTCTCCGAGGACGCGAAGAAGCTAAACGTAACGGCTGCCTCCCAATGGCTTAAAGGCACAATTATGGCTCCGTTCGATCAAATGGTGAGATTTATCATATTGTTACAGATGCTACCAGGAATAGCTCGATGGTGCAAGTGGTTAGCGCGTTCGGCTGCGATCGTTGAAGTTAAGCAACTTCAGCAGTGGTCAGTCATTGGATGGGTGACCAAAATTTGCTAGCTCTAGCTCTTCCGTGCTTCGGAAGGCACGTTAAACCCCGACTGCATCTGCAGTCGTTAGCACCAATCTGCACTGAGTCCGCATCGTGGGTTGTGGCCCAATCTCCCTATTCCTGTGCCCCAGCAGTGAGACCATTAATAGACTGATGATGATGATGACTAGACATCGAATTTTATGCATATGCAAATTCATATATTAGATTAATTGCGGCGTTAATGCATATTTTAGCTTTTTCCCCCAATCGTGCATATTTCGTTTAGAAGCGGAAAGTACGTGTCAAACTATGCATGCAAATATGCACTAAAATGCCTTTGATAAATACTTTGTATCAAACGTCACAAATTTGCACTCGAAAATTTGGAACAATTGAATATTAATTAAAAATATATTTGTATTTAAAATTTTTATTTATTTGAAATTGTATATTGTCACAAAAACTATGCATTATTTTAAGAATATTAATCTGCTTTTGTTCCGAATTAAGAAGTAAGGCTGTTTTTATTTCTCATTGTGCATATATTTTGGCCAATTTAAGTGTCGCCGCACACGGGCCACCGACCACAACCACAAAACGCCGCCACCGGCATATTTCTTGTAGTTTTCATACATTTCATATGGACTCGCCACACACGGTACGTCGGTGGCCGCCACACGCTACAAATTTTCGTTGCTCGCTTCTTGTGGCCCGCACCGGCCACTTAATGCGCCGATACAAAACGCCGCCACACGTCACTCGCATGATTCCCCACCCCTCTCTCCCTTACCTTAGTCGGCCGCTGTCGCGCGCTCCAGCCACTTTAGTAGCCGCTACTAGCTTCTCGTGGCGGCGTTTGTGGCTGTGGCATGTGGCGCGTATGCGGCGACACTAAGGGTTTTTTGTGCACATTACCGCATTTTAGTACATATTTACATGTATATTTTGGCACTTTGTTCCCGTAAATCCGGTATCTAATGATGGCTCTAATGATATTGTCTGGATATATAAAGGAACACATACCTACCCATCGTAAACATTCAGGCTTACGAAATCCCGGGTGCAATATTGCCGATCGGTCGCTTCGCGCTCGTATACCGTGAAATTAGCCATAATAAAGTTTCCGGATAGCGTCCCCAAATGGGCGTAATTCATCTCCCCTAATTACCCCTTAATCATTGGCAGTACTAGGGGATGTCCTATCAACTCTTGTTGCTCTATAAAACCGATTTAATAACTAATCGTCGCCTGTTGACTAAATTTCGACCTGCTCACCAAAATCCAATATCAAAGTTCTATTAGAAAGTATACTTTTATAAAATCAATCATCATTGTGTTCTTGTGATCAAAGAGTGTTACAAAGTACCTATGATGATCAGGTTCTTATGTCTAGGAATCAAAAAAGATCTCAGCTTCGAATCTCAATAAGATCATTTATTTGTGTGATGAGTACAATAATCATATCTGTCACGACTCATGATTATTTATACAGGGTGAAAACAATGGAACATCTGACTAATAAGTAACTACATTTCTCAAATCCCCATACTTGGAAGGCACGTTAAGCCGTTGGGCCCTATTTTGCGTTCATTAGCACCCACAAATCCGCACTGGGCCTGCCTAGGTCTGTGTCACATTAATATGCTGATGATGATAAACATGGCATCTCACAGCTAATAAATATAGGAATTGGAAGACATTGATAAATAAAGTAATTATTGTCATACAGTTAATACTATTAATTTGTAGTTTAAATGACCAAGACTTTCTGATGTGCTCAGTCAATAGGCAGGGCTGGATTAAAGGCAGGCGGTGCTGTGGCTCAGGGACCACCCACAAAAGAGAAAAAAAATCTAAATTTCGACGGGTCACTAGCCAGGGGAAGGTTTTGCACATTGTATGTGGCCAGTTTTGAAAGAAGAGGCCACCACATCTTCGTTGCCCCTGGGCCTTAAAATCTGACCCTGCCAATAAGCATAACAAGCCGTAATAATGATAATAACGATATTTCCCCACAGTTCTACATCTCCATAGGACTGAACGTAGGTGGGCTACATGAATTCCCCGATAGCACCACGAAGCCTTGGAAGGATCGCGCCACTAAAGCCATGCTCAACTTCTGGACGGCTAAAGAGCAGTGGTTCCCAACGTGGTACGAAGACACCAGCCAGCTTGAAGTAGATTATGTGAAGGTCTATGCGCTGTAATTGTGACAAAGGTTAATAAATCTCTAATAAATACAAAATATCTAAGCCTACTTCTGGGCAGCTTAGATCTGTAATTATTTATTGGTTTTTAAATGAAATAGGTTTAAATATCCTACACTACTATAAATACATACACACACACACGTGCATACGCTCACACACACTCAGGCACACACACACAACATACACACACACACACACACACACACACACACATAAACACACACACACACAATTGCTTTTTTATTTTTTACTTACATTAATCACATAAATAGTACAAAGGTGGCTTGCTCTGTTCATGTAGTTTTGGGAGTGGAGGCCTGGTGTCTTGTAGAACAGGTTTATCCTATTGCAAGCACCAGTCTTCACATTAAGTAATGAAATATTGTAATTAAGCACTTTATTGTAAATGTTTCTTTTTTCTACTTTATGTGAAGAAATAAATAAAGAATTTAATATTATTATTAAAAGCACTGGTTCCCAACGAGGTACGAAGATATCAGCCAGTTGCAAGTAGATTATGTGAAGGTCTACGCCCTGTGATTGAGAAAAAGCTAAATAAATGTGTAGGAAGGCCAAAGGGGAAGATCTTCCTCGGAGCTTCTGGGTGACGGTAGCTCGGAGCCCGCGGCCCGACTGATGTAGGTCGGGCATTGTATATATGGAGTGTTAGCCTCTGAACGAATGGTAAACAAACTGCCTGCCTAATTGTAAGCAGCTACCGCAGCCTTAAACGCTTGCGATACAAGTAATATCACTCACGCGGTGGCCCAAATCCCCTGCCCCGTGGAGCCCAGGACCTTCTTCTTCTTCTTCTTGCTACGGGCGTTTCCGCAACTCGACGTCCTTATGGCGCCTGTTTTGCGTGAGGAGGGTGTATGGCCGGAATCACTCCAGCCAGCCCAGCTCCGCCAGGAAGACTCCCAGGGCCTTCACGTTGGTGACTGCCGCTTGAAGGTTTCCCGGTGAGCCGAGGTATTTCGCCCGGTATTTACCGATCCTAGACCTTACACACCGACAGAAACGCACTACCAAAAGGTAGTGTAATTTTATGTTTGAGATCTTGTCAGTCACTCCTTTGTCATACGGCAAATAAACGGGATGTTTGTCTTCTTTGTCTCTGGTCTCTTAAATAAATAAATAAATATTTCCAAGACTCACACCAATTAGCCTAGCCCCAAAGTTAGCACTTTAAGGCTTGTGTTATGGGATACTAGGGTAATGGATAGAATACATATACTGTACATATATAAGTATATTTAAATAGAAATACATTTTAAAAACCCATGACTGGAGTACCAAGGCTTGTATTCATCACACAAACATCTGTCCCCACCGGGATTCGAACCCGGGACCTCTCGAGTCGGCGACACCATGAAACCCGGCGTACAAACCACTCGGCCACGGAGGTCGTCTTAGTTTGTGTCTGGATGGAAAGTCTCCCTTGTATCCTTGTAATGTAATCTACACTTAAATATCACCAAAATACATTTTTTTCTTCTTTTGTTACAGATGATGATGTGTGCGGTCTGCTGTGATTTGATGTTAAATGATAATAAATCTAATGACATAATAAAAACTAGTTTGCTTTTAATTTTGCCAAAGTATGTACGCTATGGCTGTTTATGATATAAGCTTTAAAAAAAGATCTTTTTAATCCGACTAATGTTATAAATGTGAGAGTTTGTATGTTTGTAACTTAATCACGCAAAAACTACAGAAAGGATTTAGATGAAATTTGGTACGCATATAGTTTGTGACCTGCAATAGGAATAGTTTGAGACATAGGATACTTTTTATACCGGAAAAATGTGTGGTTCCTGAAGGATTCTACAAAAATTTAATTCAACAAGGCCGATTTAGTCAATTTTCAAGTCTATTAACTGAAGGAATAAGATTTTTAATACAAACTTTCATTCTTTCCTTCGGGGGTGAATTTTGAAAAATCTTTTCTTAGTGCCCTTCTATATATGTGTATAACACGAGTATTTGTACCTTAGTCATGGAAGTTTATATAGGTATATTTCTAGATAAAACATACTTATCCGTTATTTTTTTAATTTGACAATGGAAAATCCATTTACGGACCATACTAGGCGCGCGACTTGTGTGAGACTCCCCGACGCGGAACAGCGCCGGTCCTACCCACTAAAACCACCGGTACCCTCATACGCCCTTTTGGGAACGTCTCAGGATCGGCGCATCTCTGTTTGCGCCACTTCACTGGGAAGCACCCGGGCCGGCACGGCCCAACGAGTGGACCGGGCGACGCGCCTCTGGGGCTAGGATACTAGGCAATCCCCAGACGGGGTGGCCTATGCCGAATGGCACCTAGGGCACGCAGCGGCCAAGCCGCGCCCAGACCACTTCGGGGCCGACTAAGACCGGCAGACACGGCTGCCTGCCTTCTTTGGCCCACCCGTCTACGTCGGAGGGGAGCGGCTAGAGCGGCTAGAGCGTCCTCCTCCCACACCCTCTCCGCGGCCTCCTTCTGCGTCATCACCGATTCGCCGAAGGAGGCGGCAGCCTTCCAGGCCCGCTCACTACCAAGCATGGTTCTAACCGTGCTTGGCAACGAGAGGTCTCCACCGCCAAGCGCCGCAATCAGAGTGCGGCGCTCGTTTTCGCTCGATTAGCGTGTGCTTTATATTTTATTTTTATATTATCGTCCGGTGGCCAGCGACTGGGTTGGCGAGTGCGCCCGTGGCGCCCCATCGACGCAGAACCTCCCTCTGCGCTCGGTGCGGACCCGTTCTACCTCCTCCATAACGGGCCGCTCGCATCACTTATCCGTTACCCTAGCATCCCATAACACAAACCTGACAGTGCTTACTTTCAGGCAATTGGTATGAGTGTGGGAAATGTTTATTTATACTACAAATATAAATTGACATCCATGACTTAGGTACTAATTCTCAAAGATATATTATCATACAAACATTTTTTTTTTTCAACGAGGGGAAATGCAGTTACGCACCATACCGTGACGCTGACTAGGCGCACGGCGTGTGTGGGACTCGCCGGCACGGGAAACAGTGCCGACCCTACTCAAGCAGGACCAGTGCGGAAAGCCACACTGATCCTACTCCACTAAAACCCCCCGGTACCCTCCTACGCCCATATGGGGGCGTCTCGGGGCCGACGCACCTGCGTGCGCCACATCTCCGAGCACGCCCCCGGGCAGGCCCGGCCCAACGAGTGGACCGGGCGACGCGCCTCAGGGGGACTGCGCTAGGGTACTAGGCAGTCCCCAGACGTGGTGGTCTATGCCGGAGCGGCACCTAGGACGCGCGGCTGGTCAGGCCGCGCCCAGACCACCTTAGGGCCGTCGAAGACCGGCAATCACCGCTGCCTGCCTTCTTCGGCCCACCCGTCTACGCCGGAGAGGGGCGGCTAGAGCGTCCTCCTCCCGCTCCCTCTCCGCTGCCTCCTTCTGCGTCATCACCGATTCGCAGAAAGAGGCGGCAACCCTCCAGGCTCTCTCGCTACCAAGCATGGCTCTTACCATACTTGGCAGCGGGAGGCCGCGATCTGATCGCGGGCCAGGCCGGGCACACAATCAACGTGTGCTCGGCCGTGTCGTCGGGAGAGGCGCAGTGATGACACCGCGGCGTCTCCTCCCGACGGGCGACTCGGTGCAGGTAGTGACCGAAGCACCCATGTCCGGTCAGTACCTGCACCAGGCGGTAGGTGAGGGTGCCCCGCTGGCGCCCTACCCACTCCTCCAACACCGGACGAATTGCCTCGATCGTCCGGTGGCCAGCGGCTGGGTTGGCGAGTGCCTCCACCCATCGGCGCAGAGCCTCCCCCTGCGCCTCGGTGCGGACCCGTTCTATCTCCTCTAGAACGGGTCGCTCGCCCCGCTCTCTCGCCGCGACCCGGTGTTGATGCACCTGGGACAGTACCAGGGCATCAATCTCCCACGGGAGCGTGCCTGCTAGGACGCAGGCAGCCCCGTGGCTGACCGTGCGGTAAGCCCGCACGGCCCGGGTCGCGATGACCCTCTGCGGTCTTCGCAGGAGGGCCCTCGTGCGGGACGAGAGGCACTCCGCCCAGACCGGGGCCCCGTACAGCGCCATCGACTTTATCACGGAGTGATAAAGCCGACGGCACTTCGCCCTCGGCCCCCCCACATTGGGGAGGAGGCGACCGAGTCCGGCTGCGACGCCGCACAGCCGGGGAGCGAGGAGCCTGAAGTGCTCCTCCCAGCTCCATCGGGGGTCTAGGGTCAGGCCGAGATACTTGAGATACATCTCGACTGGAACCCACACCCCCTCTACCCGGGCACGAAGCCCCGGCGGGGTCCTGCATCTGGGACCGTGGAAGGCCATGGCCCTCGTCTTTTCGAGGGCCACTTCCAGTCCCAGGAGGCGGATGCGTCGAACGACCATGGAGGTGCCGACCGACGCAAGGTGGACCGCCTCCTCCCACTCCTTCGCTCTCGCCGCTATAAGGATGTCGTCCGCAAAGCAGACGACATCCATGCGCGGCAGGAGCTCACCCCGCAGGACCCAGTTGTACCCCAGGTTCCATAGGAGGGGACCTAATACGAAACCCTGGGGTACGCCTGCCTTCACTGGCCACGACTGGACGCGGCCCTCCGCATCCTCGTATAGCACTGACCTGTCTCGCAGGTAGTCCCGTACGAGGGCGCGGAGGTAGAGTGGCACTCGGTGGAACTCGAGCGCCGCCTCTATGCACTCGTGGGGGATGGTGTTGAACGCATTCGCGGTGTCCAAGGACATCGCGATCACCACCTCCCCCCGAGCTGTGGCCGCCTCAGTCCACCTCTTGAGACGGCCAACCGCGTCCATCGTGGACCGGCCGGTTCGGAAGCCGTACTGACAGGTCCAGCCCCTCACCCTCGATGTGCTCGATGATCCGGGAGGCGAAAATCTTCTCAAAAGCCTTCCCGGACTCATCGAGCAACACCACCAGCCGGTAGCCCGCTGGGGAGTCCGCCGGGCGGCCTTCCTTGCGGAGAAGGCAGAGCCGCCCCACTCTCCAGCGCCTGGGAAAGCGACCCGTTGCGATGCATGTATCTAGCACCGCGCGGAATCGCTCTCCCAGGGGGCCTAAGGCAATGGCCATTACCTTGGCCGGGGCCCCGTCCGGCCCCGGAGCTTTATTGCGGCTCCGGAGCCGGTCTCTCACCGTGTCGAGTTCTGCATCAGACACGGGGGGGCCAGCGGTCCACGCCCCCGGAGCAGAACCGGGGGGCATCCTGGGGGGTTCGAAGGGCCCGAGGTCTGGGAAAAGTGTCCCCAGCACCCTTCTCAGCAGCGCGGGCTCCATATCGGACGTGGAGGGGGCCGCCGAAGCGAACTTCCCCCTCACCGTCCAGTACGGCCTCCCCCAGGGGTCGCTGTCCAGGATGGCCAGAAACTCATCCCAGGCAGCGACCTTGGCCCTGCAGATGGCAGTACGCAGGGCCATGTGGGCCTCGTTGTACGCCCGGCGGAGGACTTCTTCTTCGCCGGGCGCTCGTCTGGCGCGCCTACGGCATCGTTGGTAGGCGCGCCTGGCCTTCATACTGGCGGTACGCAGGATCGTGAGCTCCTGCGTCCATCAGTATGCCTGCCAAAGTGGGCCAACCCGCGCCCTCGGCATGGCGGCGCTGCAGACGACGTTGATGTCGTCCGCGAAAAGGTCCGCCATGCCGTCGGCATCCCCCGCGACGGCGTCGGGGACCCCTGCCCAGGCCCGCACCGTCGCCGCCTCCTCCGCCACATCCGACTGGAGGCGTGCGAGCGCCCACCGTTTGAACGGCGAGCCGCCCGCACGGAGGCCCACCGGGGCCCCTGGGGATGCTGTGGAGACCTCGTATCGGACGTATCGGTGGTCCGATAGGGTCTCCACATCCGCCTCCACCCGCCAGCCCCGGATACGGGCCGCGAGCGGCGGGGTGGCGAAGGACACGTCAATGAGTGACGTGCCCTGCCACCGGACGCAGGTAGGGGTGGTTCCTCGGTTGAGGATCTGGAGACCCAGGGCAAACACCCAGGCCTCCAAAACACCACCCCTGACGTCAGTGCGGCGGGACCCCCACGCGGTCGATTTCGCGTTGAGGTCCCCGGCCACCAGCACCTGACGAGGGGCCGCGCAGTGCACGACCCCTTCAACCGCAGCGAGGAATCGTTCAAAATCGGCCCTGCTGCGGTTGGGGGAGAAGTAGGTGGACACCACCATCACCTCTCCCCATCGTGCCGCCACATACCCCTTCCCCCTCTCCACCAGCACCGGGGAAGGGCCCGCACTTGCCGCCACGATGGCAGCGGAGCCATCCGCAGCCCCCATCCACTTGTCGGACGGGGGGATACGGTACGGCTCGGAGACCAATGCAAGGTCGACCCCCCACTCCGCCATCGTCTGGCACAGGAGATCCTGCGCCCCGGCCGAGTGGTTGAGGTTGGCCTGGAGCAATTTCCCCAATGTCCTACTGGGCATCGTTGACTGACATTGGGGTCACTGCTGGGGTCGCCTCTGGCGTGGCGCGGGGGGCCGCTTCTGGTGCGGCACCAGGAGCCGCTGCCGGTTTCGGCAGGCGGCCCTTGACGAGAGGGGGCTTGCAACTGGCCCTCGCCATTCGGTGCCCGGCTGGCAGGCCCCTGTCGGCACACAACGCGCAGTGCGGTGGGGCCTTGCAGACCTTGGCTACGTGCCCCTCTTTGCCGCAGCGATAACAAAGGCCGCTGCGGTCCTTGTTGGAGGGGCACATGGCTCCCGGGTGCCCCAGTGCCAGGCACCTGTGGCACCTCTTAGTCTTAGTCTTAGTAGAACGGCGGGCTGTTTCCGCAACTCGACATCTGGTGCCTATTTTGCGTGGGGATTGGCATCAGTCCTGCCATCCCAGCTCCTCCAGAAAGCTCAGCAGTCCCCGAACGTTACTGCAGGCCTCTACTATAGTCTTCGGGCTTCCCATTAGAGAAATCCTTTGTCTTGCAACGCCCGTGCACTCCAGCAGCACATGGACGCTCGTCTCCTCGTCCTCCAGGCAGGCTCTGCACAGAGGGCTGTCAGAAACACCTATATTACAAAGGTGTTTGTTGAAATAGCCGTGACCCGTGAGTATACCCACGATTTGTTTTAAAGCTTGTCTAGTAAGTCTGATTAACTTACGTGTTAGCTGCAGGTTTACCTTGGGAACGGCTTCCCTAGCTTGCCTGCAGTCTGTGAGTTCTGTCCAGTATTCGTTATGTTGTCGTTGACAGCGCTCCCTTATCCATGTTCGCAGCTGTCGATAGGGTATGGGTACAATAGGCTCCGGACCAATGGCCGTCCTGCTAGAACCTTCCCTGGCTAAGCAGTCCGCCGCATCGTTACCCCTTGAGCCGCTGTGTCCTTTAATCCACTGCAAAGTTAATCTATTGTCGTTAGCAATATTAGTCAACTTACAGTGGCATTCATAAATTAAGCCTGATGTCATTATATTGTTGTCCAGTGCCTGTAGGACAGAAGCGCTGTCAGAGAGAATACGAATGTGTTTTCCTCTTACCTTGCGACAATCTATCGCTTCAGCGGCCTTGATGATGCCCACACACTCTGCCTGGAAGACCGTGTTATAGGCTCCCAATGCTGTTGAGATGTGTATATTTAGGTCTTCAGAGAAGACGCCCGAACCTGTACCGTAGTTGGTTTTTGAGACGTCTGTGTAGACCCTCAACTCCTTTTGCAGACAGTGGTCCGGAGTGTCTTCATAAAGTTGAATTTTGTATTTTTTGTCGAATACGTACGTCTTTGGAATAAGGTCGTTTACTGCAGCAAAGTACGGAAAGTACCTGTATATGTCTGCTAAAATGCTGGTGTGTGGGGAGCTGTTGTCCCTCCATAGCCCCAGCATGCTTAGTCGTGTGGCTGTACAAGCAGCTTCCTGTTGTATAAACAAATGTAGTGGTCTCACGTCAAGTATAGTCTCCAGTGCTGATGTGGGAGTGGTTTTCATGCAGCCAGTGATTGCACAGCAGGCCCGCCTCTGGAGACGTCTTAACTTATTAATTGTCGTTACCTGGTTTGTCTTTGTCCACCATACTACTGCTGCATAGCTGATGATGGGCCTAATTATGGTCGTGTACAGCCACCTAACAGTGAGCGGTGATAGTCCCCAGGTTTTGCTAATCATTTTGCGGCATTGCCAGAAAATGATGTTGGTCTTAGTAGTAGTTTTGTCTATGTGTGAACCCCAGTTCAGTTTGGAATCTAGGGTTATTCCTAGATACTTTACCTCGTTGGAGAGCCTTAGTGTCGTGTTAAATAGTTTCGGTAGCCGATAGTCGCCTAAGGCTCTTTTATTCGTGAACATGACTAATTCTGTCTTCACTGGATTCACCTTAAGGCCGTAGTCGTCACACCATTTTTCAACTACCTTCATTGCCCCCCGTCTAATGTCACAAGCGGTGCTCGCAAACTTAATGTGGCGTGTGGCCCATGTGCGGCGACACTTACTCTCTTTTTCATTCAATATACTAACAGTGATGATATTAATAATAATTTGAAAATTGCAAGACCTCAAAGAGGAAAAAATCATCAGACTCTCTCGTCTATTGGCTAGAAACTATATAACTAAACAATTCATAGAAACCATATGAAACGGAGAGCTAGTGGTATGGGAAATGAAGGCTGTGATTTGGACGCAATAGGTTTATTTACACTCTTTTAAAGTAATTCACAAAATAATGTTAAAAGCAGATGACATGATGTCAGATACAAAGACAACGAGAACACAGTAACAATATTGATAGGAAAAATAATTAATATGTCAATACTTTAAACAAAACTATAAAAACTAAATCTACCAAAAGGGTCGGCAACACCCTACAAAAAATGATTGCACGATCTTTCATTTGATATGAGTTAACATAGATAAATGATTGGTCTCGCCTCACTCGACGAAGCGAGACCAATCATTCATCTATGTGAGTTAAATGTTAAAAAACTTTAATGACAAAGCTATAGAAGACTCGTTCCTATCATCGTAAGAGGTTATTCAATTTGCACGACTAATGTCAAGGACTATCATAAAGATTATAAAGAATCTGCGTGTCGTGACGTCACGGTAGAAAAGCCCCGAGCACGTCACGAAGTTGCCGGTAACATCGAAAAAAAAATGCTGCAATCATTGAAAATTTTTTCTATTGATGGAAATGAACAGAAGAGATATCACCTCATCTTAAAAGATAAGCAGTCACTAAATTCAATTTCTAATTGAAACCACATTTAATCCCTAAGGATTAAAAAACTATTTTCATTCCTTTAAACAGCGAACAATTTTTTTTCGAATAGACGTAATAAAAACTATTTCAGCTTTGTAAATTGTTTCATTCTCATTGCTTTTATTTTCTTATCTCTTGAATAAAGTTATCTGAATGATATTATACTGACCTCTGGCATTTAACATTAACGATATGCAAATCTTAAAATACTTATATTCAAAAGTTACGTTTACAATTTATACTATTTTTAATATAGTATAAATTGTAAACGTAAATAAATTGACGTTTATTTACGTAAATAAACGTCAATTTATTTACGTTAAAAAACACACACACCAATTTTTTTATTGGTTGTGTGTTGAAAGAAAAAAATAAATAAAAATAAAAGAAAATCTGAAGTTCTTGCCGTATGAAAAAAAAAATTGAATTACGGAAAGAATGATAAATAACGCTTTTCAGTCGATATAATAATTTGATTCAGTTGTAGATTATTAAAAATTTTAAGGAGAGGCCTCATCGTGACTATTCCGTATTTATTCCTAAAAATGTAAGAACAGTCATTTTTCCTTTACAATTTTCGTAATTAGATCAGAAATTAATATCCAGATTTCCATTAAATCTGAGTTATTGTATAAGTTTACTTTGATGACATAGTCCAACTTAAAATTTGAATCTTTATCGGATTCCAATCCTTATTTACTCATTTTGACTGTTAGAAATAGAACCCAAATTTCCAAGATAAGGTACTGAAAAACTACGTACTTACTCGTATTAAAGTAACAGCCAATTTCAAAATGTCGTCGTTTATTAAAAAACTTTATCGTAAACTCCGTCCAATATCTTTGTTTACACCTCAAATGACTCAGTACCAAAATGGCAGGCGACGCGAAGAGTCGAGTGTGGTGTTACATTGTGTTATTAACATTAAGTTTTGAATTGGCCAATGCTCAAAATAGTTTCAAAATTCCGGATGTGACAATAGAAGTTTTACAGCCTAAAGGTTTTAGAGTTTCTATGCCAGGTGAGTTATGTTTAAATTTTAATTCATACAATTCTCTGCATAAAACTTTTCTTCGGCGCGCGAATTATCTAACATCTAAGAATAACCGGTGACGCGCCCAGACCGCTCACAACGTGCTAGCGTTGGGTGTTGTTTACAAAAAAGGTAAATTTAAAAAATCAAAAAACCCGACTGCTTAATTATACTTCAAATAAAAACTAAAAAGAAACAAACAAGTTCAGTAGTCTATAATTTTGTTAATAAGGAACAAAGCTACTTTAACAGTCGGGACCCATTAGATATTCAAGAATACATAATATTTTTCAATAATGGGTCCCGACTGTAAAAGTAGCTTTGCTCCTTATTAACAGAATTATAGACTACTGAACTTGTTTTCTTCTTTTTAGTTTTTATTTGAAGTATAATGAAGCAGTCGGGTTTTTTGATTTTTTAAATTTACCTTTTTTATTTCACACTTTTTAGTTAGTTAGTATTATAGGACGGTATATACCGTAGTCTTGTTACTTCAGTAAGGGAATTAATATCGCGGGAATTATTAAGTACCTTGCGGTGGTCTAAACGTTTGATTTATTATGACATATAGAGACTTTACCAGCGGGGTCAAGGCCACAGATGAGCCTTAATTTTCGCATAAATGTGTAAATTTAAATCAAGTCGTTACCTATTTAACTAATGTATGTAAATTTTATAGTAAACTAGCACGTATTCAAAAAGTCATCTTTTGTTTATGTTCTTTTTAGTAGTTTAGCAGTAAATATAAAATTCATTTACTTTTATTCGTCGACTATTAAAAATTGGTAGTGGCTGCATTGACATGTCAACGTCCGGCTCTAAGATTATGATATACACAAATGCAGTGTCATATCCTAGTCTCATAATTTGATATACCTACATAATTCACAGAACCCCAATATATAGATGCCAGAAGTTAACTTCAAATGTTGTTAATCACCCTATATACAATACCAATCAATGACGTTTATGTCGCAAGCTGAAGAAAGCAGTAATTCCCGTCTGTTGTTTTGGACAATGGTGGCAACTGCCTTAGATCGCTAAATTAAATAATTATGCAATCACCAAAGCAAAGTTTATAATATTTGATTAAACTAAAGGTGCAAAATAAATTTTTCATAACGTTAGGTAGAGCACCATATCAATCTCATTTATTATCAATTCATAGTTAGTTCTCTTTGTAGTTTTGTTTTTAAAGCGTTCACTAATAACAGGCCAAAGACTTTGTGATCGACCCCTTTTTTATTGGTAGTGTAAAGCTCGAATGAAGAGTACTTCCACCTATCAAGCGGGCTGCTACCAGCCTAGTAGGTATTGCAAATAGTGCAATCATGGCTATTATTTTCTAAATATTTATTTCGTATAAAAAAATACCGAATAACGTATCACTGTTAAGCAGAAATGCTAAGTAACTTTTACAATAATCAAATAAACCTATCACTTTCTTTATTTTTAAATATTTTTCATCAATTACTACTATACTATTATCCTAACTATCTATACTAATATTACAAAGAGGCAAGATTTGTATGTTTGTAACAAATCGATACCTGTAATCTCAATTGACGTAAAGCACATTTTGGCCAAAATGAGTTATGAATGCCATCTTACTTAATTTTTTTTTCTCTGTTTTTCTGTCTAGTTCTCATGGTAATGCGGCCATTAATAACGATTTTAGACACATTGAAAATGTAACGTAAGGAACGTCATAATTTCATTTTGTTTTTAACAGCCCAACCATTTACTATATATAAAGCTAAATGTGATATAAGTCAAAGTTTTTGATCACTCTGTAAACATAAAAGGGCGTAAAGCACACTTTTTTTTAAATTATGTGTATTTACTTTCCTTATATTTTGAGGGAATAAATATCTTTTAAAGTAGTTATTGTGTGTTACCTGATTAAGTGTTAATGTCTATACAGTCGCCACCTTACTAACGTATACCCGAAACGAATAATATTATATTGTTCCTCAGGTATCAACATTGATTTTGTTCTTTAACCTATTAATAAAATCACAACAAATATAATTTGAACTCTATTTCAATTAACAATTTGACAAACAAAACAAACTTTGAATGTCGGTACACCAGCATCAAACAAAAGTATGTAGTATGGAGTGCTGGGTGCAAGCTGGTATACTGACCCCCCCAAAGGACCTTCACTGTATCAAAAAGCTAAAAATAAAGCTTTAAGCTAGGTCTCCTGCGCCGTGTTTTCGTGTTTGCTAACACTATAACATTGTTTGCTAACCGTTTAGTGGCGTGGCCTAACAGTTTTGCTAAGGGCGATTGGATAAAACTTGATTTGGTAACATGTTTTGTTAGAAAATTGGCATAGGAGGCTTTACGTCTATAGTTTTAGAATATTTTAAGAATTTCACTTTTTAAACCCATTTAATTGTTTAAATAAATGTTTTTACTCATTTTTTTTTCAATGTCTCGAACAATATTAATATGGAATGAAATTGCGATTTGTTTTCTTTAAAAAACTACTTGACAAACGTTCTTTTCCGGTTGTCTTTTATTTGGTCTAACCAACGGACAGGTGAACGGCCTTTTCGTCTTTTACCATTTGCTTATCCCATAACAACTATACTGTCTAAGTTGTCGGGCTTTCTCCGGGCGATATGACCAAAGTAACCTAGTACTACGCTGATGATTGCCTATCCTAATGTGTTTAAGATATTCTAAACAAAAAAAATACAATTTATTCTTTAGACTATTCTTTTAGTTGTTAGTTATCTATTGTAAGCCCTAGGCAACACATGTTATTTAAAATAACTTGTAGGCTATGTATGCTTCACCACCTAATCAATAAATAAAATTTGTTCTTTAATTCAAAATATAAGATTATATAACTTTTTCTATTAGCTTTACACCTGTGTACTATGACAATATAAACACTCTTAAACATTTATTTTTGGGGCGCAGAGAATACTGTTTTTTTCAATTGAGCTTTACGCCCAAAACGCATCTAAACATCATAATAAAAATGGACGTAAAGAACATTTTAATGATTTTGTCTAGATGTAAGGCACATCTATTTTCTAAAATAACAAACTAGACTAAAAACTAAATATTTCATCGTCTGCATCACAAGATTTTAGGAATATTTTGTCGACATCACTTTTTTATAACTGTAAAAATAAAAGCGTAATAAATTTAAGTAATTTAAAAAAATCTTATTTTGGCACTCCTGAAAAGTCGGGTTTTGTGCTTTACGTCAATTGAAATTACAAGTATCGAAATAATCTGTCAAACTACTGAACCGGTTTTAAATATTGATTCATCATAAGGTAGTTACATTATTTATTATTACATTTTTCTTTATTTAAATACATTTTGTCCGAGTGACATAGGCTATATTATATCCCGATAAAATAAATTTCGCCCGTACAATGCCGGGGTGGATCACTAGTAAGTATAATATAATATTATAGATGAGAAAGTGAGTTTATTTGTTGCGCTTCCGTGCTCTAATAGCTAAATCGGTTATAATGAATTCCCCTATAGAAGTAGATGGGAACTTGGTTCTTAGCTACAACATCGCAATACTTATAGGCGTAGGGTGATTCACCTATAAAACTCTATATTATTTACTTTGAATTTTGCTGAATTATCGTTTATAATTACAAAACCAATATTATCGCGAGCTGATTAATAAATACACCGCGCTATCACTTTGCCATCGTTGTAACTTTTTAAATATTTGTCGAAATGACATAGTGTAAAAGGCAAAGTTTATCGTCTTTAAATATCAAAAGCGATAAAAGTATTTGTTTTGATAAAAAAATGGGTGCGTGTACTTATGTAGGCGCGTGAGAAGTTATCCTTCTTTGGCATCGTTTAAAATTAGTTTTTAATTGCATGCAAATAATTAATTACAATAAATTAATAAAAAGTCTGGAAAAGGACACAGTCAATAAAGTTCAGTTTTAATTTGAAAAAATAAATAAATAATGAAAATATTCAATTAAAATCGCTACTGAATATAATTTATTAGAACATATGTGATTTGCACTTGTATGAAACTCAAACACGTATTCCGAATATACAAACTAGAAACATGTGGATAAATATTATAAATATGAAAACAGTCTCTGTTCTAAATTCAAAACTCGTAACTTTTCCCGATGTTTGTTGCACGTGTTTCCCGCGCTAGGACCGCGAGTAGCCGCGCATGCGTACGGTGCGGCGACGCGGTAATGGCAGCGCGGCACATAAACACAAAAGTAACAGCATGAAGTTCATGCTGTTACTTTTGTGTTACAGTGATGCGCGCGCATCTTAAAATTTCACTCTCATCATTTTTTCATAACGCGCCTAAGTTATACTTCAACTTCAAAAATAATTTGTTAATACAAAATGTGCATTTTGGAAATAGATATCAAGTAATATTTTAGTTTTGATTCACTATTTTAGCGGTAATGGCTTACACATTAAAAATAGATATATGGTGTCACGGACTTTATTGTAGAACTATTTAAGAGATACATTTTCACTCTACATTACATTCATGTAACTTTTATTGTTTTTGCAGTGCAGGCCAAAATGGCTCGCAGATGGGAGATTTTTTCCGTCTTATGTGACACTTATTGTTATATTTTGGCCAATTTACTCAATAACTTCATAAATGCTTATATATATTTTATTATCATATATGAGCTATATTACTGTTAAGTTTCATTAAAATCCATTCAGTATTTTTTAGGTGAAAGAGTATCAAAGATCTATACAAACGTAAGATTGAAATTAAAAGCGCAAGTGGTTAATATACAACTTTAAAGCGTTGTAGATCCTAAACAATCATATAAAATGAAAAATGGTGTTAAAAACCTAAACATGATTTTCGATTATCTAGACAGTGATACCCCACTCGACATATTTTGTCAACTTATTTTTTTTACTTCGTCACAATATGGCGCCTAATTTTCCCCATATTGAATTTTGATTACTATCATATCTTTAGTAGCACTCCCATGATTGAGACAAATCGATTGACGTATGAATCGTCAAAATCGGTCCAGGCGTTTGGTCTCTAGTGTGCCACAAAGGAACAAACATACATATAAAGACTGTTAAACACTATACCCTGTCTGTGTGTCGCGCTTCGCGCTCTTGCATTGCGCAGTCGGGTAAAAACACGTTATATATGACTCTAGATAAGCGGGAATGAGCGTTCAATGGTATTTTTTAAAAGGGAATGAATGAATCTTTGTTTCTGTCCAAGTCCTGATAAGATTTATAGTTTCTTGTAATAAATAATCGGCACTAAAGTAGGAAGCGAGTGAATTTTGACACATTGCTTCATTAAAATACGTGTATTTCAAAATTTAAAGCGATAACCTATAACTTTTAGACTTTTAAATGCATTATGAACATATTCTTAAGCAATATTTATAAAAAACACATAGTCTTGGAGAAAAAAAAATGTTTTGGGGTCTTCAAAATTCTATAAAAAAAATTTATTGCTCAATTTAAAAAAAAAATTATCAATGAACTTGGCACTTACGACTGAAATATTGATATCGGCATTAAAAGTATTAAGTACTTATTAAAAGTATTATAAAAGTACTATTAAAAGTATTAAGTAGTAATATTAAAATATTTATTGAAAACAATTGACTAAATGAGTCAACATGAAACAACAGACCATATGACACTTACGGAAACTATCGAAATATATACTAAAATATTGACTTACCACTTTTAAAATGAATTCCATTAATTACGTATAGAACTATTTGTTACTACAAAATAAAGCAAACACAGCACTTTTTAATTCATTTAACACAAAATAAAAACAGCGCACCTCACTCACGTACGTCGTCTTGAGACGACACGAAGCCGAGACTGGCCGACCGATGTCAACGGTTTTTTTTTTATTTGGTCGATGAATACGAATGCTGCTACAGTTGAAATAGGTCGGGAATATAATACAGAATTATTTAAAAGTCAAGATAAGCCATTTTATATTTCATAAGCAGGAAGAACTTTTAGAACGCACGGTCGTTTGGGTATTCCTCTACCCAAGCTCGTTTTACTTCATAAAATGAAGTAAAACGAGATTTGGGTAACAAAATCCCCATAGACGGGACACCGGTAAATAATATTGAAGACAAAAGATATAGTATAGATACCCAGAATCATACATGAGCGACTTCTCAGTCATTAAATTGATATGTTGTAGATGATACGAGATATATAGGTATGAAAGAAACATTTAATTTTGTAAACAGAGTATTCAATGATTAGGAAAAAATAACAAGAATGGAACCACAAAACGAATTAAACAGATAACCATAAATTAAAAGTGTGAAAAAGTTAATAAAGCATAGTGTTATCTAAAACACAAAGTTACGAATTGAATTAAATTTCAACAGTTACTCATGATTAAAGAAAAAGAAAAAGATTCAGACAAATCATATGACGGAACTTGGTTGTCATAAGATACAGACCTCGCGCTGTCATCGGCATGACTACTATACAATCAACAGTCGATTTTCGTCTGTGTTATAATATCTTAACGGTTAGCCTTTCAATACAATCCTGTTAAGTATTTTTCATATATCAAGTGTATTTAAATCCGTCATCATTATAACTTCCAGTGTCTTTATTCATTATCAGTGATGAGATTGGTTTTACCCTATGAATTAAGTATTTCTGTCTTATCCTTAATAACTACCAACCTAAAATATTATTTCAACATTATTTTACTTTTGCTTGTCGAGAAGCTCTCGTCGTCAACTTCATTTATGACGAATAATCGTCCACAAACAAAGTTAATGTCTTGAGTTTTATTTTATTTACTTATAAATTTTCCTCAAGAATTTCCTGAAATACGGTTTCGTACTATTTAGTTAGTATTTCTATGAGCAAAATTTGTTTTTTTTTTTTTTATTATTCGTTCTAAGTTTGCTCGTCAATTATTACTTATCTTATTGTGCTGACTTTAAGAGTTGATGATGATAATTAAATTAGGATTATTGTTTTCATAAGTTAATCGATCATACCATAACCATTAACCCATTTTTATCGTACATCGCCATCTAGTAACAGAACTTGAAATGGCGTATATCGATGTTTTATCTACAAATAAATGTATAATTAAAAATAATTGATACAGTGACTAAAAATCAACGCTGCGCATGATCACTAAGCCGCTTTCTATAATAGAATGTAATTGGATTAATTCTAAGTGATGTTCAATTGTTTTGTGTGCATTTTTATTATAAAACATTCTAAACGGGTTATAAAACGCATACACCAATACTGCCAATACCTAACAAATTTTGACTACAGTAGTATTTATTTGAACGTTACAGGTCCGCCTGAGAAATACCAGGCCGTATTCTTTGGCCTTGTCAACCGCTTCATTGACCATAACTCGATACACAACATTAAAGGGGAGGAGTTCCAATGGACCAACGGCCGCTGGGTCTACGAGGACACCAACACCCAACTCAAAGTCGGTGACTTCATCACCTACTACGTCTTCGTCTCCAAGAACGGAACGAACTACACTACGCGAATCTTACATTACACTGTTACCAGTAAATACGTCACGCTACTATTCATTAAATTTTTTATCGTACTTAAGAGATTTTCACCTAGAAGATTTATTGCCGATTCATAATAAAATGCAGTGAGTTAGATCACTTATGAATCTCACAAAGTAGTGATGAGGTTTGGGTTAGGTCAACATTTTCTAAGCTTGATAAGTGGCCTCAAATAATTGTAGATTTTTATTAACATCTCGTTTATATCTGCTCGCTAAGATATTAAAATCAGTCTGTTAATGTCTCCATTGCAAGAACTATTGGGCAGTAAGGGGAATATGCCATGATTGACCTCGTGGGCCCAATATTCGTGGGTGCCATATGACCAGCCATTGTCAAAGTTATCTGTTCGAAAGCATATCGAACGTGCTAGCCACTGCACTGTAGCACTCTTCCAGAGAATTTAAGTAGATTGTCTTATCTAAGAGCATAGAGACATTCTCTAGAACTGAGTGACTCATACTAGTTATTCATCTTTAACCGACCGATTTAAGATGCTAGTGTCTCCTAGCGTCTTTCGAGTGTCATCATCGTGGCAGCGTAACATCGACTGGACGGCGACATGACGCGTAACACTGCGCCTAGCACTGCGTAAGCCCGGGGTTCGACAGCCGGCCAGCGCTAGCGTTGCGTCGTCGCCCGTCGCGTCGACGTTGCGTGGACGCTAGCACGACGACGACGCTCAACAGACGCTAGTGGTAGTTTTCTTAAGGAAAATGAAGAGCTAAAAATTAAGAAAATAGCTAGCTGACATGATAGATTTAAGAGCAATTCTTACTGAAGAAAATTAATAATAAACTTTTTTGTACCGCGGTTTTCAAGGCGTGGGACTCACTAATCATAGGAGTACCGCCTACTTTCAATGGTCTTCTGCACACATGTGTCATGTACTGTACTGTGAAACAATCAAGCCCGCGTTAGTAAATAACTCACTTAATGTTTAAATAGAAAATGGGTTTGGCTGGAAACCAGTACTGCCTGAGATCTTCCATCTCAGAACAGTTCATGCTGAGTCCATTTTCTGTCCATACACTGTCATTCCTATTCGCTAATGTTTAGTATACTGTGAAGAGCTATAATCGTCAATCTTTCTTTCTGTTTTACTTTGATGCGAATTTTAGTAATATTTATTTCTTTATTTTAGCGTTAGGTAATCGTAGTGAAGGTAGTACCACACAGAAGCCGAACTGCGTTCCCACGATAACATCAGTACGAGGAGGCACCGCTTGCGCCGGCCAAGTCATATTCGAGGATGACTTCTCCGCCTTAAAGGACGCGTGGCAGATCGAACAATACTTACCAGTTTCATGGCATCCTGTAAGTCGTGCTGTCCTGTCGTAATTTCTGATCTGATCCTTGGTTCAATAATTGACTGGATTGATGTATAAATACAATAATTCTACATTCTCTTCTCGATTACCAATATTACCTTACTTTTAACTTTAAAATATTGTCGCTGGTTCGCTTTATATTCGTTGTTGGGATTTCGATAAATTCAGCTTCAGCTGCCTTAGTCTTTATTTATTTATATTCTGTACACACCAACATATATTCAAGAGCAACGTTATTAAAGATACATGTACAAGGGCACAACTTATTTCAATCTGAAATTACTTCCAGTAGGCCCGTAGAAGGAAAGAATATGAGAAAAGACGGACAGCGTGTACATCTGTAGTATCCAAGTATGTTGTCTGGCTTTTCCAATATTTTGGGTCACCAGTGGTTATATTTTCTCTAATACTTAATTATTTGAAGAAAAAAAAAAAAGTTTGTTATTTAGAGTACACACCAGACCAAGTTATTCAAAAATGGCTTGCTCCAACAGACTCTTAGCTTTTACTCGTAGAATTAGATTCACGTCAGAGAAAAATTTAGATTTTGGCAAGCAGTACCCTTAGCACGAACCATTATCGTATTCGAATAATTTGGGTGTCCGAAATGTAAGTGTCAAATTTTGTACGGAAACTTGAAAAGCAGCGCCACAAAGTATGTAACGAGAACTAAAGCTAAAACGATCAGTACAAATTTGAAAATGATATTTCGGACTCGCAAACGTTATGAATTCGATATTGGTTCGTGCTAAGTACTGATCCTTTGACAACTATTCACTCGTCCCTAATTTGTGATCAAAAACCATATAGGTAAATGAGAAAATCTTCGCTGAGCTGCCTTTAAAGGAATCTAATTCAGTTTAAAGAATAAGATTTGGTTAATATGGATCAAATAAAATAGGGAAAATCTTTCTTTTCAGGAGTATCCCTTTGTGTCGTACCAAAGGTTACTGACTAACCCCGTCGTGTCGGTGTCCAACGGCTACCTACGCATCACACCCAAGATCCAGCAGCAGATGCCAGGCTTCAATAATGAATCTATCTACCTCGGAAACTTAGACTTGTTCAGTGGGTGAGCCCTAAGTCATAAAACTAAACACATACCCCCTTATTTATAAACGGATTGGTTACTCCATGTTTTATCTGTGTTTATTAAATTACAAATGGAATATGAACGATATGATAACGATAACAGAATACGCGCTGTTACGGTGGGAAAATTCCCGTCCCATTGTGACAGCATTAAGCTGATACAGGGCAACATCCGTGTTAGAATAGTAGCACCAGTTTTCAAAGTGTCGTCTACTTTGGGGCCGGGTAGGGGCAAATGTTTGTATGACGTGAATGTATTTTATGTACACTTCAATTTTTTTTATACTTTAGAATTAATGCTACATCCTGTTTAACACGTCGTCATATCGTCTTCGTCCATTGTTTGAAATGAAATAGAGATAAAATGAAGTCTAAACATAATTAGCTTTTAAAGAATATTAAAAGATATTTTGAAACTGAGATTAAAACTGCAAAAAACAGCAGCTACAAAATTTTGTAGGTATTTGTAGCAGCACCACAGTGGTGTTAAGGTCCCCGGCAGTGATTTTAAAGCCATGAGCTCTTTTTATTTTATTTGAGACCTTTGGTGTTATTGGATCTCATTACTGTAAAGTTCAAAACCGAAATATAGTATGACGACCTCTGTGGTTCGAGTCCCAGTGGGGGCAAATGTTAGAATGACGAATACGAGCATTTGTACCTTAGTCATGGATGTTTATATATATTTCTAGATAAAATATACTTATATATGTATCAGTATATTTTATGTATTCTATTCGTAACCCTAGCATCTCATACAGCGCTTACTGTAGGGCTCGGCTAATTGGTATGAGTATTGGAAATATTTAATTTTATTTATCATAATACGGCAAAATCTACAATACCCTTTCGATAGATACATAAGTACTTTGTTCGGTTGACAGATGTACGTCTCGCGCGGAGGAGTGTTACCGCCAGGCGTCCGGACCGGACATCCTACCGCCTGTGGTCAGCGGTCGAGTCACCACTACAGGATTCGCCTTCAAGTACGGAACTGTCCATGTCAAGGCCAAACTGCCTCTGGGAGACTGGCTGTATCCAGGTAAAATCGTTTGCTTCATATTTAATTCAAAGTGAATATAAACAAAAATAAAAAAACATTTATTCGGAACAGTCATGGACTTAGACAAATGATTAAACTTTTACACGCATAATATATAAAGGACAATAAATAACGGACAACATAAACATTCATTACATAACATGTATCCACAGCTGGACCGAAAAGGACCCAGTTCAGCATTGTGTCAGTCTGCACTGACACTGATTTCAACTGGTTCCCTTTCTGGCATGTGGATGCCAGACATTATAAAATAAGGAGAGAGGTTTTTTTTTTATGGTTAGGTTCGACAAATGACTCCACCCCACCTGATGTTAAGTGATGGTGAAGTGCAGACGTAAAGATAGCTGGCAGTTGTACCTGCCACACCAGCCATCTCACCTTGCCGGCCTGCATGTTGCTTCTTCACGCCTATTTTAAAGAATCCCAGGTTGTAAGAAGGAGGGAACACGTGAGCAGGCAGAGCATTCCATTTACGGATAGTGCGACAAAGAAATCAATCACCAAATTTCTTTTTACGCGTTGGAATTGTGGCCACAGTTAGATGGTGACACCGAAGGCCAGCGCGCGTGATCCTCTGAAGGAAAGGGGAAGGTGGAATAAGAGAGAATAACTCTTCAGAACACTCGCTGTGGTATAGACGATAGAACGCGCTTAGTGACACCATGTCACGGCGTAATTGAAGAGGCTCGAGGTGTTTAGTCATCTCCTCATCGCCTATGATGCGGATCGCACGCCGCTGTAACCTATCCAAAGCATCGAGCACGTACTTGGCGGAACCATCCCAGAGGTGCGAGCAATATTTCACGCAAGACCGCACCTGCGTCTTATACAACAAGCACAGTTGCTCGGGCGTGAAAAAACGCCGCACCTTGTTCAGGACTCCGAGTTTGCGTGAGGCTGTTTTTACCACGCTTTCGATGTAATTCTTTGGATTTAAGTCACAGCGAATTTCCATACCGAGCATGGTGATAATGCTCTCTAGCTCGACATGAAAGGAATGGCGATATTTTTGCCGTGAAAGTGCAGACCTGGGTTTTCTTAGCATTGAACTCAACCAAGTTCGTGGTACCCCATTCAGAAATGTGGTTCAAAGCCTGATTGAGTCAAATGATAAGATTCTCCCGTTTTTCCTTGGTTACCGCCTGTCTAGCCGCTGCTTGTCCAAGATACCCCGCATGCACTGTACTATTGTCTGCATAGCAATGAATGTTCCCAAGAGGAATTACGTCTTTGATATGCAGCAGAAAGAGAATGGGGGATAGGACGGAGCCCTGAGGAATGCCGGCATTCACTGACATGAACCGCCAACTACTACCGTCCGTAACGACCCGAATTCTACTGCCTGCTCACCCAGGAAGTCAGCTACCCAGGAGCAGAACTGGGCCGGCAGACCGTATGCTGGAAGCTTGGAGAGAAGGCTTTTGTGCCAGACCCAGTCAAACGCCTTGGCAATGTCAAGGCTGATAGCCAATGGTTGGTAGAATTTTGGGGAAGTAACCTCCACCTTACTAAAGACCACTTTAAAATAACACTACCTTTTGGTGGTTCTAAGGCTCCCTGGGATTGAGTCAGGGTAGGCAACAGCGTGAATGATATTTTTGATATCGCAAACGTCTATTAGCTATGGTGGCTGATTACCATCAGGTCAAATGCTTGTTTGCCACCCTTTTAACATAAAAAAGAAGGCCACGTGCACCATCATAGATATTGAAATCATTCAATACAAATATAGATAAAAAAAATGTTAAGTTTTGATTTAAAAACTTTGGTGAACATGCAAGTGTATCTTCAAAAATAAGCGATAATTTTTTAAATTATGTCTTAAGCTCGTTAATATTGCTTGGGTATATCAAAATTATGTTTTTATTCTTATTTACAGAAAAAAAATACTAGAAATAATTCAACTTGGCCATGGTATCAGACTGAACTCATTTTCTTTAGATACGAAATCAAGCAAAACAGAGTAATCTGCATGAATAATAAAAAGTAATATGACTACAATTTTTTGTCACATCTTCTATTCCGTCTACTGATAACTTTGAGATAGTGAATAATTTTAGATAACAAAAATATAGAAATATTTCTCAAATTTCTCTATTTCATCAGTTTACTTGGTAAATATAAATTGGTTAAGCAAACTAAAAATAAATAACAGACATAAAATATATACTTTAGTCATTGTACATATAATATGTATGTAATAATCATTTAATTCCAATTAGCTTAGTTTACTAAATTACAATTTTCAATTCTAGTAGCTTACACTAACTTTAATAATGCAGCATTAGTAGCCGAACTAGGTAAGGAAAAATGTATTTTAGCTTCCGACGCCATTCCCCATAATTTTTACAATTATATTTCCTAGAATTGTATTTTACGTTAATAAATCTATTAATCTACTATTTATTTATTTTTTGTATCTTTTGAAATAATTGTGTTTTTTGCATTTAGTGGGTATGTACGTGAGTGGGTGATTAATAAGTTGCTTTAGGAAACTTAATTTAAAAAATTTAGGAGTTTTTCTGTCTCTTCATATCTAAGATCATGAAACCAGCCGGAAATTCTCTTCTTGCGAAGTACTTTGTTAAAAGTATGAAAAAACAGTAAATTATTAATCTTGTTATGTAAGAAAGGACCCAAAAAGCACTCAATACTCCGAGCAAAAGAAGAAAGTATAAGCCCCTATGTTTGTTTTAATTAAACAAAACTCCCAGTGTGCTGATTTTTAGTGAAAAATCCAATATTATATTGTCCACAGAGATACTTCTGGAGCCGTTTTTGAAGAAATACGGTAGTTCTAATTACGCTTCAGGCGTCATAAAGATCGCTGCAGCACGCGGTAACAGGGATCTGCGAGTAGGGTCAGATGAATACGGTAATAAGGTAATTTATATAAGCTCACTTTAATTTAAACATTATTATTCTAAAAAAACAAATTATAAAAAAAACTATTTTAACAAAAATAAACAAACCGACTTCAGAAAAACTAAACCACAAAAAATAAGAAATAACACATTTTCTGTAGTCAAAATAAATCTCTGGAGTCAATACCATGCATTAGATCTGAGTTCCCATTTACAACTTGGATTGGCATGATACTGACTCCAAATATGAATGTTATTTCTTAATTATTAGAGGTTTTGTTTTCATGAAGACGATTTTTTATATTTGTTGAAATAGGTTTCTATTTTTCACTTTCAACAAGCCAGAGTTGAAAGCAGTTTTTCTTTCATATAACGTAAATAACCAAATACGATATGTGGCCAATTTTGACTGAGGAATTGAATACCTGTGATTGGTCAGGCGCATTTAATATGACATGTCCAAATGAAATATATAAATTTATTAGATCTAACTTTGAGTCGGCGTACAATAAATCATTAAAACTAAAAACCAACATCCAAAAAAAACAGCCGTGGGTTAAACAATTTATATTTGTTTCTTAGGTTTTCACGCACATCACTCATTAAATAAAACTAGTTTTTACGGGTTAATGCACGAAACTTTATTTATTTATTGACGTTTCGTAGCCTTTACAGGCTTCGTCGTCAGAATGAAACTTTTATTGAATTTGTCGAGCTACCTTCCAAAGACTTTTATTGAGCGTTTGGTTATTTCATTGTTCGATTTTTAAGTTTTATTGTCTATGTATGAATTTATTATTTAATTTACTTAATAAAGTATTTTATTTAAAATTCTTTTTTGTAATTTTGAGTTTTATTATTTGACCCTAACTACCGTAAACTACCACCGGTTCTAAAATTGGGAGACCTTTCTGAGAAGAACCGGCGAAACAAACTCAAGAGTGGCTTTCTATCTCCTTCTTATGTTAAATTATGCAAACAAAAAGAACTAATAGTATCTGATGGTCTTGCAGTGTGTGCTCGGGGTTGGGATTTTATCTCCTGTACAATAGGTTCCCAAGCTGGTGGTATATACCAACCATCTTCCCTATTGAAATTTGGATATTTTTTAATCTCAATAGCCTCGCGCATCATTCGAGGAACGAACCGCCGCTCAGCTGCAAGGATCTGTGGTCTATCAAATCTAATGTAGTGGTTTGGTCCCCCTAATGCATGTTCACACACTGCAGATTTATTTTCGCGCCTATGTTTCATATCTGCGATATGTTCTTTTACCCGAGTTCCTATACTCAGAAAGGTCTCCCAATTTTGGAACCGGTGGTAGTTTACGGTAGTTAGGGTCAAATAAATAAACTCAAAATTACAAAAAAGAATTTTAAATAAAATACTTTATTTAGTAAATTAAATAATAAATTCATACATAGACAATAAAACTTAAAAATCGAACAATGAAATAACCAAACGTTCAATAAAAGTCTTTCGAAGGTAGCTCGACAAATTCAATAAAAGTTTTATTCTGACGACGAAGCCTGTAAAGGCTACGAAACGTCAATAAATAAAAAAAGTTTCGTGCATTAACCCGTAAAAACTAGTTTTATTTAAACAATTTATGTTAAAATTAGCAGACAAGAGAGATTAGTTTATATAATAAATGGAAAAAAGACCCAACAAATAATTACCTAAGACTAAAATATAACAAGATACGTAACAAGATACATAAAATATTAGAACAGTGTAAAAATAAATATTAGTGTAATAAAATTAATGAAAATATAAGAAATCCTCGTAACTTAAGGTGAATAATAAATCAAATATGTGGCAGGGTGAGATCAATTTCCTCTCAAACGTGGGGGACCAGGAGATGCGTGAGATCACGGGGTGATACGGTCGATGGCACTTTATGGAGCTCCGGTTTGGGCTGAGTGCCTCAAACCCTGCACGGTGGCCCTGCTGCGACGACCTCAGTGGACCATCGCGACCCGGGCCATGCGAGCGTATCGCACGGTTAGCCACGACGCCGCCTGCGTACTCGCGGGTGCGGCGCAGGTCCTGGCAGACGTGCATCGCCTCCCACGCCCACAACAGTGCTCTTGAAAAAATGCAACGGGACTTTGATTTATAAAATATGTGGTGCCACGACAACTAGCTTGTAATTAATGCTAGTAAAACGAAACTCGTCCATAGACGATCAGTATTCACAAAGAGGTACTGTGAAACAAATAATAGGTTAAAAGCCCATAATCACAGCTGTCTTCACTTGAATATACAGCAATGCAAATGTCCTATTATTGAAACGGTAGATAAACATACTTAGCTCGGGCTGACTGCAGACTGCAATTTCAATTGGCAGCCACATATAAGTTCCGTTTGTGATAAACTTAGAGCTTTCTTGGCTAAAATAGTGATTATCAAGAAGAGAATTCCTTACAAAATCTTACTTATATTGTACAATTCGTTGGCTGACTCGATCATAAATTACGGTATTACTAGTTACGGTAGAACATTCAAAACTTATCTTAACAATATAAATACATTACAAACTAGAATATTGAAACTAATTGTATCTCCTAAAATAAAAGAACTTAATAGAAACGACGATAACAAACTTTTTAAGCACTGCAATGTTTTACCCATCCAATATAAATTACACTATAATTTTTTAAAAGAACAAATTTTCAATCAAACATTACAGCACATATATCAACATAAAATTAGCACACGACAAGCTATAAAACAAAACTTAATAAGTTTTATGCAAATAATGTATATGGGAAAAAAACTATGCAATACTTAATTCCCCACTTGCTAAATGATTTAGATCCTAACTTCAAAAAAAGTATCACTGCAAATAACTTCAAAAATAAATTAAAATCATATTTTATCAGATCTTCCTCAAATTGATTTGGAACTATTTTACTAACAAACTCTTTAAACAAAAAAAGAATCATTAAAATCGGTCGACTCAACTCGGGATATGCGCGAATAACAATAATAAATATATATTGACGCATTGAGAACAGACCTCCTCCTTTTTAATGTCGGTTAAAAATTAAGACTACTATAATTTTTTAACATGTTTATTTCCTATATTACCTACGTATCGTTCTTAATACGCAATGTGTATTGAATATGATTCTATTCCGTTTGTTTCAAATTAGCAATTCCACAAGGTTCCAACCTAGGTTCATTCTTGTTTCTAGTATTCATTAATGACCTCTTATCTTAAACGTACCTTTGACACTATTAACGATGAATTTCTTACCAAGTTACCACAGATTACTCTTACTTTAGAGAGAGCCGCTGGTTAGCATTAAAACAAAAGCAAGATAAACAGATTTCGCATCAATTATCGAGTTATCCAACAAGCTTGAATTATTAAGGTTTTATGAGGAATTTGTAATGATTTTTCTGTATTTTTTTTCTTTTGGAATGATGTTAACTTTCAAACCTTTTTCCTAAACTGTCCTAATAGCATTAATTCTCTGATATCCCTGCAGGTTCTGTATGGTGGACCAATTATGGATGTGCAATGTCGAATGCAGCTGCTATCCAGAAAACTTCGGGACAACGGTCTGTGGGGAGATGAGTTCCACGAGTATTCACTTACATGGACTCCTCGTGAGTAGAAAAATCCTTTTTATGACAAACATTAGTTTGAATACCAAATGGTACTAGTTCAGTGTTTTTGAAACTACTTCTCGTTAAGATTTAAAGTTCAGTCCTGATTTGAGTACCTGAAATTGAGAGTTATTAGCGGGATTGTTACCATGTACCTTGTTTTTTATGAGTCTCCGATATTTTGGCCCTAATTACTCCATGATCATGGCGCTTGAAACAGTGCCGAAATATCAGAGACTCATAAAAAACAAGATATAATGAAACAATCTCGTTAATTGCCATAATGTTAGAGACTGAAAGTTTAAAACAATAAGTCTGAAAGTTGATTCCTTAAAGAGATATTTTTCTTTTTATTTAGCAATAGTTTTGAGCAAGATGTTATGTTTTTCCTCTCTTTTGCTTCAATCCCAAGGAAATATATGCAAATGTATCATATACTAGCGGGTGCGCGACTTAGTCTGCGTGGTTCGTGGTGGACGTAACAATGAGACGGACACAATTTCGCATTTATAGGTATAGGTTTAATATGGATTAGCGTACGGCCGAGTAGCCATTGCAGATTTTAAGAGTACTCGTGATTTTGTTCCGTCAGAATATATGTCGTTGTCCGTGGATGGAGAGGAATGGGCGCGAGTGGACGCGACCGGTGGGCTGGCGTCACGATTCCCACAGAATTGTGCGCATTTGCCACGAATGCTGCTCGAGAAGGGAACGAAAATCGCTCCATTCGATGACTATGTAAGTAACTTACTCAGAACACAGAAAGCGGTTAGGTTACAGAAAGATTACCCTATCTTAGACGGGATCCGATATCGCCGACTAACCCCCACTACACTTTCACCTAGTAAATAATAGCTAGCCAAACGACACGACATCAAATAATGGAAACAATCAGCGCTCACACCCGTGAGCAACGACGCAATCAGAACCAAGTTTTGATCAAGTTATGAGCATTGCTCACACATAACCGTGGCGCGCCTGACCTCAAGGAAGTCAGCCCCACACTTTGAATTTTATTACTATCCAGGTTGTTCTGGATTGTTCTTTGTACTATGTTTGTTCTACATTGCTCCAGAATTTTATTTGCAAAATTATATAAAACACGTTTCAACGGGTAACATTTTATTTGTTTATTGACGTTTCGCAGCCTTTTCAGGTCAGCGTCGTCTGAATAATGATTTTTATTTACTTTGTCGAGCTACCTTCGAAAGACTTTTATTGAGCGTTCGGATATTTCATTGGAAGATTTTTTAAATTTTATTGTCTATGCATGAATTTATTTGCTAATTTAATTAATAAAGTACTTTATTAAAAAATCTTTTTTGTAATTTTGAGTTTATTTATTTGATCCTAACTACCATAAACTACCACCGGTTCCAAAATTGGGAGACCTTTCTGAGAAGAACCGGCGAAACAAACTCAGAGAGGCTTTCTATCTCCTTCTTATGTGAAATCATGCAAACAAAAAGAACTAATAGTATCTGTTGGTCTTGCAGTGTGTGCTCGGGATTGGGATTTTATCTGTTGTATAATGGGTTCCCAAGCTGGTGGTATATTCCAACCATCTTCGCTATTGAAATTTGGATATTTTTTATTTTCAATAGCTTCGCGTATCATTCAAGGAATGAATCGTACACAGTTAAAATTTCAACTGAACAATGATTCATTCGTAGCATACAAAAAGAATTTTAAATAAAGTGATCATGGCGCTTGCAACAGTGCCGAAATATAAAAAACAAGGTACATGGTAACAATCTCTTTAATAGCTATGGACACAACTAATAAAAATGGCATAAACCTGGTGACAGTAAAGCTTCTGGATACGAAAAGGTTTAAGTCTTGGTCGGGCTATTCTTAGTTTCACAATAAACATTGACAGAAAGATTCCGATATTTATAAACTTATTGTTTCTTTTCAGTTCTACATAACATTGGGCGTGGCAGCGGGGGGAATAACGGAATTCCATGACAACTCATTTTCAACAGGAGGATGGCCGAAACCGTGGCGAAACTCTGGACGCAAGGCTATGCTCAGCTTCTGGGAAGACTTGCCCGCCTGGCAATGGACATGGATAGAACCTGAACTTCTGATAGACTATATTAAAGTCATCGCCTTGTGATATCAAAAAAACTCTTAGTAATTTTATATTAAATAATAACATGCCATAATATTAAAGTCATTCTTAGAACTGCATTAAGTGCCTACTCTTTGTCAGCAAAGATTATTCGTATACATGTTTGAAACATAAAAATTGTTAGCTGAAAGTTAAATTTTGTCTTTCTAATACCTAGTTTATTTTTGTTTAATCAAAATGAAAATAGTTAACTGACGGAAAGAACTTCGTCTGTTTTACTTATTGTTATAAGTCAGTGGACTAATTGTGAGTCGCCTACTTTGTTAAGGAAATGTATGAAATAAAAGACAACTTTACCTCAACTGAACTGGTTGTATTATTATTATAGTTCCTTTAGATTTTTCTTTTAATTTATACGGAAACATAATAATTATTATTACGCGTGTTTCGGAAGTGTGAGCACCTAAATATTAAACGTTTTGTATTTTATTTGTAACTACTGACATGCCGATCTTGCTCCACTTTTTAAAAAATAGCATCTATTTTATCCGTAACCTTTTTCTTGTTTTCTGTGATGTCACTGCTCTGGGTATGGCAGAATACCAGTGCAGCAGGAACTTTACCTGCTGTGTATGCTGAGCTATATCCAGTGTTGGCATCACATAAAATACACATTTACTATCTGTTGTTTCTTTGTTTTTCGTTGTTGTTAACTTTACTTGTACGTTTTGTTTTACTTTATGTTAAATGTATTTTTATGTGTATGTTATGTGTTGTCAGCAATAAAAACATTTTTCTTTCTTTCTTTCTTTTAGAGTTTTTTCATTTGTTGGTCATCATTGTCATTGTTATTAAAGAGAAGTCTTTAGTTCCTCTGAGTCAGTACATTATATTGTTTTTAAACTACAAAGAGCTTTTAAACTAGTCAAGTCATTCTTATCTTTAATATAATCTTATAAATGTGAAAGTGTGTATGTCTTGTTTTCATAGATTTCCACACATTACTGTTATCATCTTAACAGGTGTACATCGCGTGGTGAGGAATGCTACAGGAAGGCTTCTGGGGCAGACATCTTACCGCCCATATTGTCGGGCCGTATCACAAGCTCCAAGTTTGCATTCACCTACGGAAAAATCCACATTAGAGCGAAGCTGCCTCAAGGAGACTGGCTGTACCCAGGTCTTGCGTAAACTCTAGAAATCTATTTAAGAAATTAAAACCATTCACTGCTACCGTTACATACATCTATACTAATATTATAAAGAGGAAAGGTTTGTATGTAAGTATGTTTGTAACGAATCGGCTCAAAAAGTACTGGACCGATTTTAAAAATTCTTTTACCATTTGAATGCTACATTATCACTGATTAATATAGGCTATAGTGTATTTTCAAAAAAGTTAGGGTTCCGTAACTAAATATAACTCAACGTGTGTAAAAAATACCTAAAATAGCCTTATATCGCGTACGCTGAGGAAGTCATTGACAATAGAGCAAAGTGATGTACTAAAGTTTTATAGAGGATACCAATATCTACAAAAAAAAAGTCCACGATACCATATGTCTAACTATTAGAGTTATGTCACAACTAGAGGTCCCCTGCAATTTCACCCGCGTTAATTTGAAGAAAAGGGTTTATAGTGAGTCAAACTTAAAATGTAGACATAAGCTGTCGTGGGCTTTTTACAGAACTTTTAAAGGGAAAGAATTCCGTCATACGTGATTTTTGTGTAACTTTAACCGTTTACCCAGCTCACGCAACGGAATGTATCAAATGCATCGATGCTCCGCTGCTGCTGGTCGTAGCCGGGTAATATATAGCCTATAGACTTCCTCGATATATGCACTGTCCAATACAAAAATAATTTTTCAAATCGGAACAGCAGAGCAATGTTACATTCGGTACAACAGGTCCTAAACTACGCAACAATTTTTTTACTTGGAATGGAAGGTTTATAATTATTATGAAGAAGTGTATAATTTGTCATTGTGTATAATACAAACCTTTGAACAAAAACTATAGTCTACACTACAGCTCTACACCGAAGCAAAGCGAGGGCGGGCCACTAGTAAATATATATGTTACAATGTTATCGCATTACTTTGTCGAGTTCTTCCTAGTGGTCAAACTTTTTGGTCAAATCAGTTTGTGCTACAGGAAAAAAGTCCTTAGGGTTAAACTGCTGCAAAATGACCAATACTAATTTATAATGTAAATGATGTAATACCCGTTTTAATATATAGGCCGTTTGATCCGCTATTTATATGGAACTAGCGGCCCGCCCTCGCTTCGCTTCGGTGTAGAGCTGAAGTGTAGACTACAGTTTTTGTTCTCAAGCTTGTATTATACACAATGACATTCATCTATGATTCTTCTTATACCTGCATGCAAAGTTTCAGCCCGATCGGTTTAAAATTGACAAAGTTTCATACAAACTTTCATTCCCTATTTTATCCCCTTGGAGGTAGAATTGATCAAAATCCTTTCTTAGCGGATGCCTACGTCATAACATCTACCTGCATGCCAAATTTCATCCCGATCCGTCCAGTGGTTTGGGCTGTGCGTTGATAGATCACTATGTCAGTCAGTCACCTTTGAGTTTTATATATATAGATTTCGTCTAGTAATCTTGTTGGACTAGTACTTTTGTCACCCAGTTGCGTAGTTTGACCACGAGAGAATGCTATCCTAATGCACAAACTAGTTTGACCAAAAAGAAGAATTAACGTAGTCCAGACTTTCACTAGTTAAACGATTTGTGCAAGGTTCTGTGGGATGATAACTACATCGATGATTCCGTAATGCTGGCGTTTCACATCTTCCATTTACAATTAATGGCATTCATATTTGCTATTTATAAATGGACAACAGTATATCCTTATTATGCTTGGCATAGGGAAGGTTACCACTCCTCCCTCCACAGACAATGAGAAGAATTGATAAATTTTATATACAGTGTGTAAAAAAAACCTACGACAAAGACTTAAGCTATGCATTCTGTACACCCAAACAAGTCATATTACTAAATATTATACGTGGGAAAAATTTGTATTTTTAAGTTAAAAAAAACATATTTTTTCCGGTACACAATGTATAGCGCGGCGCACTACTGTGGCGCTACGCAAATAATGTACCTGTGTGTATGTGTGTGCGTGTGTGTAAGTGCTTCGATAAAAAAGTTTCTACATAACGTATAGAAAATATTAATGTATAAATCTTGAAAAAAATATTTTGGCTTTGACCTTCAATATCTCCATAACCATAAATTTCCCATGTATGGTCCAGAAGACAAAAATGATCGTCATGATGTGGAAAAAACCTGGCCTTAGACTTCGTTATAGGTTTACTTACACCCTGTATATTATCAGTTGCCAAAGTTGGCTTGATGTTTTCAATTTTCTTAATTAATCCCCTAAACCAGGACTAAAAACCACATGTGCCATCAACGCAGGAGCTTACACGATTGCGCGTTTATACTATGACATTAGTGGCATGCCATTGGTTTTATCCAAAACTCTCGCGCGAACTGTTCAAAACTTGACGATTACACGTGAAATCCCTGATAAAATTATTGACACGAGAATTTCGTAATGTAAATTCAGCTTAAACTTATCTATAACAGTCATTCCCTTTTTGTTTCATTTAGAATTACTTTTGGAACCTTTCCTGAAAAAGTATGGTAGCTTTGACTACGCTTCAGGAGTTTTGAAGATCGCATCAGCACTGGGCAATAAGGAGTTGAAGTCAGGATCCAATATATACGGCAATGAGGTCAGTTTACCCCCTTTAGCCCTTTCCATTTCGCACAGTATCATTCAGAAACATCAAATAATAATATTTGTTTCTTAGGTTTTCACGCACATCACTCATTAAATAAAACTAGTTTTTCACGGGTTAATGCACGAAACTTCATTTATTTATTGACGTTTCGCAGCCTTTACACTCGAAACGTCAATAAATAAATAAAGTTTCGTTCATTAACCCGTGAAAAACTAGTTTTATTTATCAATTAAAAATGCTGTTTCCTTTTTATTTTTTAAGCTTTTAACTGCTGCTGTTAGCATTTAAATGTTTGAATGTAAAGAAACGTTTACTAGAAAATATTCCACGCGGACCAGGCAGCAGACGGGACCGCGTGGATTTTTTTCTAGTAAACTTTTCTTTGGGTTTACACATCTAGCAGTTAAATGCTTAAAAAAAACATAACGATAATTGCTATTTCTTCTTTCAAATGTTTAATACTTGTAAAGGTATTTCATTTGACATTATGGGTTACCTACAATGCGAAGAGATGGCGCTGCCTTGCAGCCTAAGGCTAGAGAAAAATCGACACGACCGTCAGGGCCGCGGTAGCATAATGTTCAGTGCATTCGCTCGGTTAGCGAAGGGTGCGGGTTCATGTTCCGTCTGCTGCCTGATCCGCGTGGATTTTTTTCTAATAAACTTTTCTTTAGATTTAATAATGCTGTTCTATTTTATTAATAATAATAATCATTTATTTGAAATCATATAAAAAGACTAGCTGACCCAGCGAACTTCGTACCGCCATAAAAATAGGGGCAGGTGGTAGAGGAGAAAATTTAGGGTTGTATGTATTTTTATGCCACATTATAAAAAAATAAATATTGGCCAAAAATAATTTTAGGGGTGTGTAACGTAGTGTTCTATCAATTTCCTGGGATATCATTCTCCTAACCCATATTAGAACACTACGTTACAATACCCAATAGTTTGAATTTTGCCGCGAAGGCGCATTGTAGGTTTCAGAACACTGCGTTACAGGTGGACAACCATTATCACTTAACGATATGAAAAATTGATAGTAGCCGATTCTCAGATCTACGGATTATGCATATAAAATTTCATAAAAATCGGTCAGGCCGTTTCGGAGGAGCATGGTAACTAACATTGTGACACGAGAATTTTATATATAAGATTACATAAGTTTCCATAAGTCCTATACTCAATACAATGATTTCGACCTGCAAGCAGGCGCGCAGTCATATTGTAAATAAATAAAATTACATTCTTATATATCTATACTATACATAATTAATTATTAATGTCCAAATCATGAAAAGTCTAAAAGTGTAAAAAATATTTAAATGAAATTACTAATTTATGAATGTCACAGAATACAATATTACTATAAATTGTTTTCTCGCATACAAAGTGACAGGCTTCACTTAAATCAATCTTCAAAGTGAATTGACATCTCTAAACGCAGTAGTAAGATGTAAATTACACTGTTCAAATTATTGTTGGTGATAGTTTGAGTACTAGGTATTGATATAAATAAATCATTTTTTCTAAATTGATTTATTTATAAGCCAAGCTTTCTAGCTTGGCACGAACGCCTTTCGCTTCGTTATATGAAGCTTATAATAAACGAATAACTTGACACATATAGGAATATGAGTTTTCTTAACGGTCGTCTATCCCATGTTGGACATTGGGACCATTTTGGTGTGAATAATCAGCATTTTCAAAGTCCCCACTGCTGAGGCACAGAACTCCCTTGTTGTATTATATATGTTAGGTTATTTAAGAAAAGAAATTTGACTTCAGATGTGTGGTCCGTGCACACTATATTTTTGTAATTTTCTAATTTTTAATCATAATATTTTACAGATGATGGCTATTCGCTCTTCGCCTTTCACGGCAAACTCAATGAAGAAATGAATGGCTTAGGAGCGGGCCAGTGGTCCAAAGACATCACAAGGGCCAAGGGTGATCGATGGACCTTCCTAGACAGAAACGCTGTATTGAAGCTGGGAGACAAGATATACTTCTGAACTTACGTCATCAGGGCTGGCCTGGGTTACAGACAGGATAACAGCGAGTGGACAGTCACAGGTTTCAGAACAAGAACAAGACCTTTCAGAACAAGAACAAGTTTTCGGTTTTTTTTTATAACACTAATTTATTTATTACTTTTTAAGTTGATGAATATAACATAATATTGTGATGTAGAGGATTCGATAGTTGGTAGAGTAGGCCCATCAGAATCGGAGGCCGCGTCGAGATGCAGCCAGGGAGGTCGAATGGGTGGGAAAGACAGGGAGAGGAGAGGACGGTTTAATAATAGTGAGAGGCGAAAGGAAGAGGAGAGGAAAGGAAAGGAAACAGAAAATATATAAAAGGTTTAGAGGATGGGAGTAAGAGTGTAAGAGAAAAGGTATAACAATCTTGCATGAAATACAGTCATTGACGAAATACATTCAATATTACACTTAATACTGAATGTATTTCGTCAAGAGTGACGTGAGACACTTCTCACAGACGCGGCCGGGGTCGTGGTGGTTACAGAAATACACATAGGAGAGGCCGCAGCCGCAGGCCGCGTCTGCCTATAAAACACTTTAAACTTAATGATAAAATAAACAATAGAAATTACAAAAAAATATTAATAAGAAAATATAAGATCACATGTTCAATAACAGTTATAGTTTAATATTAAACAATAGGGTGTTAATAAATTCCACAACACATTTCTGTCTACATACAAATCCTGATGAAGATTTCTTTTGCTATAGCAACGCTGCGCAGAATCTCATGACACATCGTCAATTTTTCACAGAAATGTTTGCACTACACTAACTCTAAGTACTTAAGTAAAAATACACTAGTGATTAAGTGTATATTTTACTTAACCAGGAATCTGTATTGTGTCATCTCAGTAATGAGATTTGTTTACACCCCAATTAATGAGGTGTTGTTAAATTTTTTTATTGGTTAACTTTTTAACGGTCTGCCAGCCCAGTTCTGTTCCTGGGTAGCTGTCTTCCTGCGTGATCTTAGAATTCGTGTCCTTACGGATGGTAGTAGTTTGCGGTTCATGTCAGTGAATGCCGGCGTTCCTCAGGGCTCCGCCCTATCCTCCACTCTCTTTCTGCTGCGTATCAATGACTTAATTCCTCTTGGGAACCACGGCGCGTGTTCTGAAGAGTTATTCTCTCTTATTCCACCTTCCCCTTTCCTTCAGAGGACCACACGCGCTGGCCTTCGGTGTCACCGTCTAACTGTGGCCACAATTCCAACGCGTACAAAGAAATTTGGTGACTCATTTCTTTGTCGCACTATCCTTAAATGGAATGCTCTGCCTGCTCACGTGTTCCCTCCTTCTTACAACCTGGGATCCTTTAAAGAGGCGTGAAGAAGCAACATGCAGGCCGGCAAGGTAAGGATGGCTGGTGTGGCAGGTAAAACTACTCTCTGGACTTCACCATCGCTTAACACCAGGTGGGGTGGAGTCATTTGTCGGACCTATTAATAAAAAAAAAACTTTATTTCTTTATTTTATTATAATTGACGATACCGATTTCGGTTCATTCTTTCAAAACAGTTACAATTTACTGCAGGGTATTTATGCTTAGGCAATATTTTTGCGTTGCATTTTTATACGTTCGCGTTACAACAACGCATCGCAAAAACGACCGATGTCGCACCGCAATGAATTAGTAACTCTTAGCACTAAAATGATAATACTAAAGCTTAGCTACAGTTTGTTAATATGTTTATCTTTTCCTAACAGTTAGGATTAGGGGATTAAACAAGTAAGGGTAATGTATTAAGATCCTAAGTAAGTGGTAAGCCATCAAAACTTGATGAGATAATTTATATCCCTAAAATTAGCCAGTCAGTCTTAAATGTTATACATTATTATGTACTAGCGGCCGACGCCGAGTAAGTTAGAAATAAAGGTTCACTGCTCGTTCCCCGTAGGTGATAGCGTGATAATATGTAGCCTATATGTTGACCCGACTTCTTAATAATATTCGCGCCAAAATTTAAGTAAATCCATGCAGTACTTTTTGATTTTATCCTGGACATACATATAGACAAAAATTCTAAAAACTATATTTTTGGCTACGGTATCGATTGTAGACCACACCCCAAGTATTCTTTAAAAAAATAATCATTGTACAGTTTTGACTTTCCTATCATTTTATTATATGTATGTATAGAATAATATAAGGAAAAATTAAGAGAAGTATTTATATGATCCTTCAAAGGTCAAATTGGTGTCTCACCAAGTAGTAAGTTAGATTATAAATTAGATTTTTTTAACTTCAATACATAAAGTCGGTTAAAATTTCAGGGAGGATTACCTGCATCTTTTCACTCTCTGGACGGAAATACTGACCGCTATCGAGGCCTTACTGATCGTGTCGAATTTCTCATTGTGTTTTTCGGCTGCAAGGCACCTGGCACATTGACCGAGTGGAGTTTATTCAAGTTAAAAATTTATATTAAATTTTTATAACTACACCGTGAATTTTGAGTTATACTATAAAACTTCACTCACTAATTCAGACAACGATTTAGGTTATATTTCCGCAAAAAGAAATCTTAAAATTATTCTTTTCGAAAAATGTCTCTTCTTTTACTCACTAATTGTGTAATTATGAAACCTTAGCAATTTTAATTATTATAAATTGATTCAAATAAAAGTAACTTTAGGATTTATTATGGACTTATTATCCGTTTAAAGTACCTAACTTGAAAGGGATTATAATCCATAACAGGTATGTTATTTAAAAAATTACGCTGTTTAGAATATTTTCTAAACTATATAAATTAATATTGAGTTATGTGTGTGGTGGGCAGACGATATTGATTTAATTAAAAAATAGTAAAATGAGTTGATAAACTTAATATTTTTTGTTTATTGCTCTTATATTGTTTTTTTTTTTGTCTTTTAAATATCATTAATTGCCTATTTCTTGTATTTTACGAAACATATATGTGCCATTTATCGACCTCCTAACTTAAACTCGAACATCTTTACATCATTGGAAAAAATATTACACACATTACCCAAATCAAGTAATTGTATAATTTGCGAAGATATATATACTAAGGTTCATTACGCTTTAAAATAAATAAAACGATATCTAAACATGACATTTTCAGGATTCGTTGACGAAGGCGGATCACCGGTAGATTCTTCTACTGATTCTACTACTCCAGCTTCAGTGCCTGTCGATCTTATGTCTCCTACGCCAATGCCGTTTGCACCAAAACCTCCTTCACCCGAAGATGTAGTACCAATAAGTCTAAGTACAATATCAGCGGCACCTCCAAATGGCGCGGACGATAATACAAAGTACCCCTGTGAAATATCAGTCTCTAAAGTATCGGTGCCTGGGTTCGTGTGTAAGGGACAACTGCTGTTCGAGGACAACTTCAACTCTAACCTGGAGAAGGGAAAGGTCTGGACTACTGAGATCATGTTCCCTGGAGAGCCGGTGAGGTTTCTGAAATTGTATTTCACCATAGTATTTGCATGCAATGGGTACTTAAAAAGTTGACATACATAATTGTAAAAGAATGCCATTTATATTATCCCATAAAATAAAAATACTTCTCATAGACCTCTCTCGAAATTTTACTGGTTTCGGTGGACCCTCTGCTACTACATTTGTACCAAACTGTTAAAATTTATAATAAAGTGAGAGGATTAGATCTAATAATGGAATTTTATGTCGCGGCTGAGATACAAAACCTTGATAGAGTATTGAGACAAATTCAAAAGGCTTTGGCAAAATACAAAGATTTCTAGCGCTAATTTCGAAGAATCCTTTTTTTATTCTTAAATTCAAGTTTCTTAATTTCAACATCTTAATTGGTATTTACCATGACAATATAATGCAAACTTTTGAATTGATTAGAAGTCAGATAGGGATTTTTTTTAAATATACATACTCTTTTTGGGAAGCTTAATTCATGATTCATACTTTTGTTTGTAGGACTTTCCGTTTAACGTGTATTTAAACGATCGCAATTTGCGAGTGAGAAACGGGATGCTGAAAATCCGGCCCGTTACACTGGAGTCCAAGTATGGGGAAGATTACGTCACGCAGTCATTGGATCTAACTTCAAGGTAAATAATAACACGCAGACAAGAATTAAAGAGAGGCAGGTCAAAGCTGATCCTCTAGGATTGCATATTTTAGGTGAACGTGCTATTCAGGATGGCAAGAAAAATATGATAAAATATTTGACATGGCAATAAAACAGAATTAAAAAGGAACGGATACAAAAATCCTTGCCTAGCAAAATGAAACAACCTATTGTATATGTATCAGTATATGTATTCTATCCGCTACCCAAGCCTACACTGTTTACTTTGGGGCAAGGCTTATTGGTGTGAGTGTTGAAAATATTGTTTATTGATTGTTGGTGGTAAAATTATTTATTGGTGGCAGGTGTACCGGCACAGTAGGCACAGATCAATGCGGGCGGGAATCCTTCGGGCCTCAGATCCTTCCTCCCATCATTACGGCCAAAGTCACCACCAGGAACCGATTCAACTTCATGTACGGCCGCGTGGAAGTCAGGGCCAAAATGCCGGTCGGAGACTGGCTTGTACCATGTCAGTATAGTTTTATCAACCAATATCACTTTAAACGGATGAAATTCATTGTTAACACGATAAAATACAGCCTATGGCCATATACCGAAAGAAAGCTGGAAGCCGACCAGCGCTTCTCAGCGGTCCTTACTGGTAACAGTAACATAAAGGAAGCAGATTGTAGCGTACTGGGCGATGCCAGCGCTGATCAGTGCGTGTCGAAGATTGTCGGAACTTGTCGGCGACATTCGACGCTTATCGGCGCTGGTCCTTAGAAATGCTTGCGCCGGTTACCTGCGCGAACCGGCTACCAGCTTTCTTTCTGTATACGGCCTATGTCACTGAGATTTTTTTTTGAGTTTATTCGTTACAAATGGACGATAAACATCTTTCCTGTAGGCATAGATGAAATTTAAAACTGTTTAGAAAAAAAATCAATAGTATAACCATACACTTAGAGGGTGATCACTCGCATGAAATTGACACTGTTCAGAAAGAGAGAAAGCCCAGCCTGCCTAGAATTATTTATGTCCCCGCTACTGGGGCACAGGCCTTCCCTATGGATGGAGTAGGGAGTTTGGGCCATGACCCACCATGCGGGCCTAGCGCCGATTGGTGGGTGCTAACGACTGCAGATGGAGGCGGGACGAACGGCTTAACGTGCCTTCCGAAGCACGGAGGAGCTCGAGATAGTAAATTTTTGGTCACCCATCCAATGACCGACCACTGCGTAAGTTGCTTAACTTCTACGATCGCAGCCGAACGCGCTAACCACTTGAGCCA